TCCTCCATATCTGACGCCCCAGCCCGCAACACCAGCTCCCGGGCAGCTGCCGCCATAGTCGCAGCGGCGGCCATTCCCCGCTGCCTCACTTCCGGCAGCTGTCAGTCTCAGAGAGTCGGTTTCCCGAAGTAAAACTGCAAGTCCCAGAGTTTCTTGCACAGAGAGAAAACGCTCCCAGATATTTTAGTTACATTGTTCTGCTCCACCCTTTCCCTTTCAGCTCTGACCATTTCACCCAAGTGCAAACTGGAATACGGAAGTCTCAATCACAACCTCAAACCGGAACTTTCGCTGCTTGCATACCCAGGAACTTTACGACTGAAAAGAAGACTGCACCGGAAGTTATGGTAACCAATACAGAGTCTCAGAAGTCAACTCCCGCTGCAGCAGTTTCAGGAAGCGCTTAACCTACATGGCACCGCCTCTTCCGCCTGGAAACTATATAAGAGCAATACGTCACTTCCGCTCTCTCTTCCACTGGAGGCCTACACGCCGCCGCCGTTACCGCCGCCATGGTAAGACTGGGGTCCGTGTTGGGATCCGGCGACATCGGAACCCGGACGGGGAAGGTTTGCTGTCAGGACACCGAGAACGTCCTATTTTGGGAGCCTGCAGCTTTGTGTGTGGAGCCTTGGGCCGCCTCTCTGGGAAGGGACGACCAAAAACTTGGAATTCCCGAGAAGCAGGGCCCGAAAAAGGGTCACTTTCCGGATACACGAAAGTTGCTAAAGGGTTAGGCGTGTGCGGGAACTTCCGACATCCACCACACAGTATACTTTGGGAATGGTCAGTGTTCGCTCTATTGCTAAAGGTTGTATTTTCCCACGCATAAACGTTTCCTGGTCCTGGTCTCTGAGGAGTTGTGTGAAAACCTAAGAGGGGAGGGGATCGTTGCTACCTGTGTGACAAGCTTAATGTTCTTGTTGGAGATTATTGCTTTGACTTAATGACTGTTGGGTTTAACAGTAGTTTACGGTGCCTGATTTCTCCCCCATACTCTTTCAGTCTCTAGTGATCCCTGAGAAGTTCCAGCACATTTTGCGAGTACTCAACACCAACATTGATGGGCGGCGGAAAATAGCCTTTGCCATCACTGCCATTAAGGTAAATAGAGTAAGGGGTAGAGGATGTAAGTGAAACAGACCGAATAAAAGAGCCAAGGTTGAGGAAAGGTCTCATCCAGATCACTTCAGCTTCCTGGGGTAAGAAAAGATCAATAAAGAGAACGACTAGTCCCCTTAATACATTTGCCATAAAAGGTAAGAAAAGCCAGAGAGGAGTCCACAATCAAGCCAGAACATTTCACCTGCATAGGTAGGTTATGGGTATGGTTGAAAACTGGACTCAGGTGCCTGTGGTGGAAGTCAGTGCTCTTTTCCAGTTGAAGTGGGAACCAACACATGACTTGGGCTTGTTGAAAGAACTGAAACGGTAAATGAAAGATGAGACTTTCTCTTCACAAAACTAATAGGTTCCTGGCCTTCTAGATCACATGATTGTGGAAATAGCTGAATGTATTGCGTGTCAGGAAGTAGGGCTATACCATCGTTAGCTTCTGGTGTACTGAGTTCAGAGCATGGTATTAGGGATAGTGTTTCATGATTTTTGAGTTTAAAGGAAGCTGGGGCGGTTTTATATAGAGTAAAATTAAGGAAGCCGCTTTAGCTGGAGAGGATGTTAAATTAGACATAAAGATGGACTGGGATTTGTATATCAAAAGAGTTATTAGTGGCATGGTGGCATATACCTGTAATCTTAGCAATGAAGAGGCTGAGGCAGCCTGGGCTACATAGACTTTTCTCTCAGCAAGACCAATAAAAAGAACGTATAGGGGAAGTCCTAGCTTTGGTTTATAAAGTTTGTCAAATCCCCTTGATATTTAATACTGTACTGTAGGAAGTGAATAAAAAAGATGAGCATGTTAGGAGGGTGCTTATGCTAGACATGACCTGTTTCTTTGAAATTGTGTGTGTTACTTTGTGTTTTATAGCCAACTTACAATGCTTAGAAAAGCTGTTTAACCAAGGTATATGCAAGTACTTAATGAGAGGCTGTGCTATGTTTCTTGCAGATCCTGGTGCCTTTGAGTATTGATAATTTGTGTGGAGAGCCAAAAAAGTTAACTTTCTTAAGAAGCAACATAGATCCTATGTTACTGTAACCATATGCTTTCCTCATTTTGTTTACTGAATTCTTTAAGGCTGGTATTCTCTTCTCAATTGGGGTGATAATTTCTGTTTGTGGGTTATTTATAAACATGGGGAATGGGCTGGAGTTAGTTTGATGAGACATGCCTATTGCTTTCACTTACAAGGCATTACTTAATTAAAGTTAGGCCAGACCTGGTGACGTGTGCTTTGTAATCTCAGCTACCCTGGAAGCTGACACAGGAGTATCATGAGTTTGAGGTCAGCTTAGACCACATAGTGAGCCTCTGTCTCAAAACATAAGTAAAAGTAGAAATCTTGTTTTATATCTACCCATTTCTGTTTGAAATAAATCTCATATATGCTGAAGAGAGACTATAATCTCTATATTGAGTCCACTGATAATTTGGTCCTAGATCACTTAGAGAAAATACCTTTTGTTTTAGTGTGTAGGGTTACTGTAACAAGTTACCACAAACTTGGCTTAAAACATGTCAGCATGGCTATACCCACTCTGAGGTTCTCAGAATCCTACCTTGGCTCTGGTGGTTGTTATCAGTAACATTTGGCTTTCCTTGGTTTGTAGTTGCATCATTCTAATTTGTCTCCATCAGCATGTGGCTGTGTTTTGTGTCTGTGCTTGTATGTCCAGTCATTGAATTTAGGGTCCATCTAATCCGATGTAACCTCATCTTAACCTAATCACTTATGCAAAGAAGGCATACGATCTCATTCTGAGGGTCTAGTTGGACATAAATGGAGAGGGTTGTTTTGTTTTTTAACTCAGTATACTATTCTCCACCATGCAAATCATTTTGGTTCATGAGTTCAAATGGCAAGGGAAGCCAGAGCTGGTGTTGGTATTGGTGTAAGCATTAGTTTGTTGTGAGTTGACTTGGGCACAGTTAGTTCCTTAGGTACTAGATATTGACAATATGGAGTTTGTGGTCATCTCACTGTTAACTTGCCCAAAGAGTTCAGATTTTAGAGATAACTGACATCCTTTGCCACCACGTTCCCCCATGGAACCCAGGGCCTCTCCAGTGATAGGCAAGTGCTCTACCACTGAGCTACATCCCTGGCCCACTATTTTATACCTTGATCAAGCCTGTTGATTCACAAGACTCTGGCTTTGGTGTTAATACTAGCTTGATGAAGAAGTCCCTGCATTCTCCACAATGCAGAAATTAAGATCCTGCCTTTCCAGTCCTCACCACGGACAAAGTCATCTAACTTTATTTAATAGTCAGGCCTTAAAAAAGGTGGGTGGGGGGGGGCATGGTTTGGGAAATTGCTGAGTATGAGATTGTTGTGGACTTTTGGATAATGCTGTTATCAGGGAAACCGAAGATCAGATTCAACCCTAATTTCAAAATCGCTTTTCTCAGGGTGTGGGGCGAAGATATGCTCATGTGGTGTTGAGGAAAGCAGACATTGACCTCACCAAGAGGGCTGGAGAACTCACCGAGGATGAGGTGAGGACCAGGAAGGGGGTTGAGCCCACTTAACAGAAGGAGGACCTTGTAGATCTCACCTTGTCCTTCCTGTTAGGTGGAACGTGTGATCACCATTATGCAGAATCCACGCCAGTACAAGATCCCAGATTGGTTCTTAAACAGACAGAAGGATGTAAAGGATGGAAAATACAGCCAGGTGTGTGGCTAAGGCGGGAGCAATTTGGAAGAGTTAAGTAGGTGTAGGTGATAAAGGGAATAAAACAGGCATCCTTCACCTCCAAATCCAGGTTCTGGCCAATGGTCTGGACAACAAGCTCCGTGAAGACCTGGAGCGACTGAAAAAGATTAGGGCCCATAGAGGCCTGCGCCACTTCTGGGGGTGAGTTTGGGGCTCCCTGCCTGCTCCTAGTTGGTTAGAGGAATCAATACTGGTTCCTCGTGCTGTCTTTTTTGAAACCTTTGTTTACTGGTGACCAATGACCTTTTTTTTTTTTCTCCCCCACAGCCTTCGGGTCAGAGGCCAGCACACCAAGACCACTGGCCGTCGTGGACGCACTGTGGGGGTGTCCAAGAAGAAATGAGTCTGGGCCTTTCTGTTAATAAATAGTTTATATGACTTTTCTTTGTGCTTCTCTTCATTTTTCTGGTGACACTGATAAAGTGTATCAACTGGGCCTTGTTGGTTATTACGCCCTTTAGATGGAGATGGCCCAACTCATATACAATAATATTGGTGTTTACTGGGATTTGAACTCGGGGTCTTGGCCTTGCTGAGCAATTCCCTGCCACTTGAGCCATGACTTCAGCCATTGTGTTTTTGGGAAAGTTTTGTTTTGGGTTTTTCATTCTTGCTTTTGAGGTGCTGAGCAAGTGCTCTATCACTGGACTACATGTCCAACCTTTGGGGTTTTGGGTTTTTTTTTTTTTTTTTTAGATGGTCTCATTACATGGCCCAGGTGGCTTTGAACTTGATAAACTGTCTGAAGCAGATAACAGACAGGAACCACCACACCAGCTTAGTTTTTTGATACAGTCTCAGTAACTTCCCAGGGCTGGCTTCCAACTGCTATACTCTGCCTACCTGTGTGGCTGTGCAGTGCCTGGCTGTTGGATATAATAAAGCAGTGGCGTTTCCCTATGTTAATAGCTGATTAGATCTGAGGGGTGCCGGCTGTTGGATATAATAAAGCAGTGGAGTTTCCCTGTTAGTAGCTGATTAGATCTGAGGCGGGATAGTGGGGAAACGCCTGAGGTTGGTTAGCAGGGCTCTTTATATCAAGGCAGGTACAACTTCGGGTGAGTTATTTGCGGGTGATAGGATACCTTGTTTCTAAAAGATGGGGTCGGTGTAGATAAAAATCGAACTGGCAAGGTTTATTTCCCAGCAGTGGGGTGGGGCTCCAGCATGGGTTTGCGCGCTTCCGGCAGAAAGGAACGATGGGAACTCGGTGGGGGAAGGGCTGCAGGTGGCCGGCCATGGAGCGGAGCTTAGCGGTGGCGGGGCCGGGGCCACAAGGTAACTGTCTACGGCGGAAGCATGGTCCGCAGTCCCTTCGGTTCTCCACACCCCTGCGATGGGCGTGCTGGAGTCCACGCGCGCGTGCTCAGCAACCCTTCCCCATCCCATCCCAGGCGCGGTGGCTTAGAGCCGGTCTAACTGCCCTCTAACCGCCCTCCTTTCCCTCCAGATCCCGTCTGACCGCGCCACGCCATGCCCCTCAGCTTCTTCCAGCGACTTCTCCTTGCCACCCTGCTGCTGGTGATCATCTGGACCCTCTTTGGGCCTTCCGGGTTGGGGGAGGAGCTGCTGAGCCTCTCGCTGGCGTCCCTGCTCCCAGCCCCCGCCTCTCCCGGGCCGCCCCTGGCCCTGCCCCGCCTGTTGATCCCCAACCAGGAGGCCTGCAGTGGTCCTGGAGTCCCTCCTTTCCTGCTAATCCTGGTGTGCACGGCCCCGGCAAACCTGAACCAAAGGAACGCCATTCGGGCCTCGTGGGGCGGACTGCGCGAGGCCCGGGGACTCGGGGTGCGCACGCTTTTCCTGGTAGGAGAGCCTCATGGGCAGCACCTCACCGGTGGTTCCCAAGGGAATGACCTGGCACGGGAGTCAGCAGCCAAGGGGACATCTTGCAGGCTGCCTTCCAGGACTCCTACCGAAACCTCACCCTCAAGACCCTCAGTGGACTTAACTGGGCCGACAAACACTGCCCCATGGCCCGTTACGTCCTCAAGACAGACGACGATGTCTACGTCAACGTCCCTGAGCTGGTGTCAGAACTGATTCTGAGAGGGGGCCCTATGGAGAAGGGCATGGGGACCCGCAAAGAGGCCAGGGCTGTAGAGGGAAAGCAGCAAGGCCGGGCTTTGCAGGAAGAGACCGTGCCACTTCTGTACCTAGGCCGTGTACATTGGAGGGTGAACCCCTCTCGGACCCCTGGGAGCCGGCATCAAGTGTCAGAAGAGCAATGGCCTCCAACCTGGGGCCCCTTTCCACCCTATGCCTCTGGCACAGGGTATGTGCTGTCAGCCTCAGCTGTGCAGCTCATTCTAAAGGTGGCCAGTGGAGCACCCCCTCTGCCACTAGAGGACGTCTTTGTTGGAGTTAGTGCACGACGAGGAGGCCTCTCCCCAACCCATTGCGTCAAGCTGGCTGGTGCCACCCACTACCCCCTGGATCGGTGCTGTTACGGGAAATTCCTGCTAACATCCCATAAATTGGATCCCTGGAAGATGCAGGAAGCCTGGAAACTAGTGAATGGATTAGATGGAGAAAGGACCACACCCTTTTGTTCCTGGCTCCAGGGAGTCTTGGGCATCCTTCGGTGTCGAGTCATTGCCTGGCTTCATAGCTGAGCATCTGGAGTCACGGGAGAAAACACGGAGCCAGAACCTTCAAGACTACTCTTCCAAGCCCAAGGTAGGGGCCCTAGCTGGCTGCAGCAGATGTTTCCTCATACAAGACTGAGTCTGTCTCCAGAGGGATATAGGAGATACCTAAGGACCTTGCCTGCTAGCCCCAAAGGTGGTCACTAGGGATAGGGGAAAAAAAAATGCTGGAGTTGTTCTGTTCCCTCCAGCCAAAGCAGAAGAGGGGAATGAGTCACTCAATAAAACTTGTCTCTCCACTCCTTCAAGTGCAGTGTCTTCATCAGGACTCCAAGAACCTGGAAAGCCAAGGCTTCAACCCTGTGGGATGGGAAGGACATCCCCAGGGACACAGGAAAGAAAAGATAATCTCTCTGGGGAGGAAGGCTCTGAAAAGGCTAGCAAAAAGGTATAGGGAGGATGGAGGCAGGGCACTAATACCTCTGAACCTAGAATTAAGTCTCATGTGCTTGCTTTAATATCGACCTATCCAAGGAGCCAGCTCTCCACACCCAGTTGGGAAAGGGAGGCACATTACCGCTTATTCCAGTGAATATAGTCATTTCCCTACAAGTGATCTTAGGGAGAAGTTGTTCCCAGGCCACCTGAGAGCCTGGCTCAGCGCGCAAATCTGTCCAGCACAGATGGCCGGGCCCCGGTGGGCTTGGCTTTCTCTTGCGTCTGCTGCTGCTGCTGCTGCTGCTGCTGCTGCTCAAGACTCTGCCGTACTTTGTCCTGGGGAAAAAGGAGGGAGAACACAGGGCAAGGTGAGTAGTGGCTGAATGAAAAAGCCTAAAGCATGAGCAGGAAGAACGTGCAGTTGTGGCGGCCCAGCCCATCCCACCCCACCAGTGCTTATTTACCCTGTGTTCCTTGTCCATGACCTTTCTCTTCCTCTTTACCAGGCTTGCTGTGGAGCTGCGGCCCTTCTGCTTTGGCTTTGGCTGGAAAGGAGCCTTGGCCTCAGGGTCATAGCCCTGAGGGAGGGGACAAGAGTAAAATCAGTAACAGCTTCAGAATCAGGAAACTGGTAGCACCAACCTGCTGAGCTGCATTTCAGGGGACAGGCTGAGGGTGGAGGGGGATAGCTGAGGAAGGGTCTGGGCACTCAGGTGCTGCTCCATACCAGTCTCTCTATCTTCTCCTTCTTTTCCTGCTCCAAAGAGATGACATCTACCTCTGCCAGGGCTCGGGGATCCAGACAAATGAGCTCTGCAGGTACCTAGGGGTGTCAAAGGACAAGAATGGGTTAAGGAACCATAGAGGGTAACACCAAAAAGGGACAAAGGCCAGGGAGGCTGCATGAGAGCACTGGGGAGCTCTCCAGCCCTCAAGCCAAACACCTGCTCTAGCAGGAAGCAGCTCACCTTCTCCAGCAGAGCCTTCACCTCCCACTCCTGGCGCTGCTTCCGGCTCCTGTATGGGTTATTCTCCAAGCCATCAAAGTTGGGCTCACCAGCCCCTGGAGGGAGGGAAGAAAATAAGAGTCACAAGAATCCAGTCCTGCAGCTTCAGCCTGACCAGTCCCCTTGTCCCTCCCCTGGCTGTTTCAGGCCCACCCAAACTTCCATCAGACTTACTCACTTTGCACACCATCCCCTGGCCAACTTACCAGGGACCAGCATGCTGGTGATGCCCCCACTGTGCCCAACCCCCAGCACGTCTTCAAAGGGGCAGAACTGAAGACCATGCACATGTCCTGAGAGCCGGTGGGTGAGGTAGGGCTGCTCCAGGGAGGGTAGGCTGGCCTTGCCTTGCCCTGCCCATATGTTGACGACATCACCCATTCCTGCAACCAACAGTCCCCGCTGGGAAAAGGCCAGGTGTCCTGCTCCCTGGGGCAGTGTCCGTGCACTCAAAGGCTGGAATGTCCCTCTCAAGTCAAAGATTTTCAACTGGTGATCCAAGCCAGAGGTGGCCATGTACCTGGGGGGAAATAAGGGATCAATTAATCTGTTAGAATGGATTTTCTAAGGCCTGTGGCCAACCCCAACTGTCACATCTGGATGGGGAGGAAAAGACTAGTAATAACCACTCCCATTACATGAAATTATCCAATAAGTTTCACAACTCTATTTTTACATCCTTTTTATAGATAAGGAGATTGAAGGTCAGAGAAAGGAAATCCAGGTTAGTTAGTGGTCCAGCTGGAAGCCAAGTCAGGCTTGTTTCTTTAGTGTCTGCCCTCCTACCTACCTACTAACACACCAGTGCCCTCTGAAGACATGTGAGGCTGTACCTAAATGTGTGTCCAGAGCAACTGGACAAAAGGAACATGCAGTGCTCTCTTCAGAGAGGACATCCCTGAAAAGAAGGGATCTGGGCCATGCTAAGTAATTTTCAAGAAACACAACAGGTTCAGGTACATTATCACCAGAAGTGTAGACATAGTGAGATGGAAACAGAGGTTTGTCTGCAGGTTTTGTGGGAGATGTGGTGATAAATCATGAGGGGACAAACTTTTAAGATTTTTTTTTTTTTTAAGTCAAACTGAGGACTCATAACTCGTTAGCCCAATATTGTTCTCTGACACTGACAAATCATGAAGTAAAGACCACATGGACTTGAGAAAACCCACTCAAGGAACTAGCAAAGTAATATACTGGACAGCCCTGTCCACTCTCTGCTTTTTCTGCAAGGCTGGCAACCAAATCCTCTCAAAGAATCACGCACTGCACTGGAACACATACGGAAACCCTGGGTAAATATCAGTCCAGCAGTGAGATGGGATTCCAGGCCAAACTACTGAACTACTTAAACCTTAAAAGCAATTTGGCTTTGAGAAGCCAAGCTAATCCAGTCCTAAGGTAGGCTTCAGAAAGCTTTTTGAGGAAGAAGCCAGCTTCATCTTGAGTCCCCATGGCCTGTCCAAAAAGCTTCTGATAGGGACCAGAGATAAGCAGAGATGGCTCTAAGAGCTGTTTGGTGCCAAGGTGTTGACAAAACTCTGAGTCTCAGTGAACTAAGTGATCAAGCCTTGGACACAGTAGTGGCTGGTCCAGTCGGTCAGAAGAGGGCAAGCAACAGCTTAGGCAGGCCCAATGGCCCACAAAAGCTGCACACAAGGCTTCCCACTCTCCAGAGTCAGGCTGACACAGATAGGGAGTAAAAAGGGCAGAACCAAATCACTTATCCACAAAGATACAATTATGGAGGCCAAAGGGGTCTGAATAACCTGAAGGCTTTTTGTAAGTTGATGGCCACTGGGCTTTTCCTTTTCCTCCACATTTGTTTACTGATTTCTTTTCTTTCCCCTTTTTTTTTTTTGACAGCAGTGGGGATTGAATTCAGGGCCTCATCCTTGCTAGGCAGGTGCCCTACCACTTGAGTCACACCCCCAGTCCTGTTTTTCTTTTAAACAATTTAAAAGTAAAGTTATATAGTCTTTTCTGAATGTAGAAGATTCCTGAGCAGTGGTATAAAAAGAGGAAAGCAGCTTATAGGAAATTATTCTGACAACAGTACCATGGACATGTCAGAAAGAACTGGAGCCTGGAACTTGGCTATATCACTCATGCCCACAGGAGACAGCAAGAATGGAAGGAAACAGTTCCAGAGGGATGGAAGAAAGGCAGGACTCCAGAGGTGGTCCATGAGTAGGAACAAAGGGAGTACCTTTTCTGGGAGGACCCAGAAAACACTCAGCAAAGTACTTTTTTTTTTTTTTTTTTTCAGACAATGTCTTACTGTGCAGCCCAGGCTGACCTGCAACTCTTGATCCTCCTGCCTCAGTGTCCTAAATGCTGAAATTATGGGCATAAGCCACCATGCTCTGTTCAAATAGTACTTTTACTTCTGTTATTACTGAAGGCTAAACTTGTGAGATGTGTAGTTAGCTAGAGGAGCCAAAGAACTCTACAGGAAAATTCTGGGTGAATGGGAACAGGAAAGAAGGAAATTTGGGAATGACAGGACACATTAAGTCATGTGTCCAGTGAATACAAAGTACATCACCTGGCCAATCATTCCCACAAAACATAGTCACCTGTTTCGTACATTTATAAAAAAAAAAAAAGTGCAATTGGAACACCACACCCAGGTAGGCTCAAAGATTTATCCTTAGATCCCCAGAACCTCAGCACACAGCCCAGCCAGCAATAGGGGCCCTGTGAGTGCCTGATACGTGAAACGAATTAGAAGAAAATACAAAAAAAACTACGAGAAATGCATATACTCTCTTGGAAACAGCAGAAGTCCAAAAGAGACACACCACCCTTCCCCTAAAATCACCAGCTAGATCTGAAGATGTGTTCATCTTCAATGAGAGAGGGAAAGCGCTCCCTATTTGTTCTTTGTATGTCTTAACTCATTTTATTTTTATTCATTCATTCGTTTACTGGTTGGAATAGGATTTGAACCTCAGGGTTTCACACTTGCAAAGCAGGCGCTCTACCACTTTGGCCACAACTCCAGTCCATTTCGCTCTGGTTATTTTAGTGATGGGGGTTTTGCAAACTATTTGCCCAGGCTGGCCCTAAACTGTGATCATTCTGATCTCAGCCTCCCAAGTAGCTAGAATTATGCGTGTGAGCCACTGGCATCTAGCCCTTAACTCATTTAATGTCTACACCAATTTTATGAAGGCTTTAGACTAGAGCTTAACAAACTGTCACCTATAGCCAAATCTAGTCCACCATCTATTTCTATTCAGGTCACAAACTAAGAATGGTTTTTACATGTTTCAACTGGTTAAAGAAACCAAGGGATATTTTGAGACATGTTTAAACCATATGAAATTCAAATTTCTCTGTGCACAGATATATTGGAACCCAGCCACACTTACTCATTTACTTCACTAGCTGCTTACACCCTTCAACAGCATAGTCAAATGGTAATGACAGAGACTGTACATGGCACCTTATCAATTTGCACTGCTGCTTGGCACAGTACAAATTACAGTGACAACATTATAACTTGACAGCACTTGGATGCCTCACATATCACCTAGTTCATCACCTATGCCAAAGATATTTCAAAGATGCACTAACAGATGATCATTCACAATCAAGTTTGATGATTTGGAACACTAACCTTGAACCTCGATTAAGCAAAATGTCATCCTCATTTAATAAGGAATTCAAGCCAGATGCCAGTGGCTGGTGCCTGTAATCCTAACTACTTGGAAGGCTGAGATGGAAGGATCTCAGTTCAAAGCCAGCCTGGACAAACAGTTCTCAAGACCCCATTCCAAAATAACCAGAGCAAAATAGACTGGAGGTATGGCTCAAGCAGTAGGGTGCCTGCTTTGCAAGTGTGAAGCCCTGAGTTCACACTCCAGTCCCACCAAAAAAAAAAAGGAATTCAATTCTTCCCACTTAACAGACTTATATTACAAGATTATATTCAAGCATTATATTTTAAAATTTCACCACTTAAAAGATTTGTGACAATTTTCTCTATTGTTATTTAATTACCTATATTAATACCTTTGATTTTACCTCTTGGCCAAGCAAAGCCTAAAATATTTACTATCTGGCTCGGCTCTTTAGCTTACTGACCCTAAGCTCCACTCACATTCCCACTCTCAAGATTAGGAACTGGCACACAGAAGTTATAGCACGTGCCCACACTGGCCAATGGCAATAGCAAGACATACACCTATGCAGCCTTGCTGCATTGCAGTCTGTAACCCCCACACCTTACCCCAAACAAGTGACTTACATGCCTGTAGAATCTACTGCCACAGCCCGGACCCCACCACGGTGACAGAGAATCTTTGCCAGGGGTTCCTTCATGGCTGGACTCCATAAAGACACAGTCCCTGGAAGTAAGAGAAGTAGAACTAAAATTACTAATACAAACCTTACCCTAAGATTATTAAGCCAGGGAAACATGAGGACTCAAGACCAAGAAGTAATAGGAAAAGTAAATGGGTAAGGATTTGTAAAGTACAAATACAGAAGAAAAGCAGGTCAGGATGGTCAGAGAATCAAAGCTAAGGCAGGAGCCTGGCTTAGTGGCACATGCTTATAACCTACTACAGCTTATAGGCTGAGGCAGAGGACTGCAAAATTTGAGATCAGCCTGGACACCACAGTGAGATCCTGTCCCCCCGCCCCCCCAAAAAAAAAAAGAACAGCAAAACTCACCATTGCTCTGTCCAAGATGGATGATGGCGTTGTAAGGGTTCTGAGCCATAACACTGAGCCGTCCAGCATGAGCATTCAGAGCTGCCACGATCTTCCCCACTGACACGTCCAAATAGGTCAGAAATCCTGTCTCTGACTAAGAGCGAAAGAGAATGACTGAGTTCTGACTGCTCTTCGTCTTCCCTCTGTGGGAGTCTAGAGGAGATAAGTAATCCCAAAGACTATCACAGGCCCTTGTGCTCCCCAGTCACTCACAGCTGTGGCCAGCAGAAAATGAAAAGGCAGGAACTCAAGCCGTGTTACTCGATCACAGCGGCGGATGCAATGGAGCTCAATGCCCTGGTTGTCATAGATATAAAGCCAGCGATTCTGAGCGACTGCAAACAGTGCCTCAGAATGGAGAAACCTGGGGGGAAAGAAGGAGTGGTTCAATGGAAAATGGGATAACATGCTGAAATGGCTTATCACCCCCACTGACCAACAACAGAGAAGACACTGACTGGATGTCCCGCACTGCCTCCATGACGTTGATCTCACACATGAGCTTCTTTGTCACCCAGTTGAGGGCAGCCACATGACCCCGACGCCCTCCAAAAGCCAAGTGTCTGTTAAAGATGAAAGAAAAGTGGGGTATTCATGCATGGGATCACTGTGACTCAGATAACTGGAGATCTGCCCCCACACCAGCTCCTCTCCAGGTGAGGAGTCATGTTGAAGTAGATGCTCGCCATTTTCATCAACAACCCAAACACACACTGCACAGTTAACCAGAGCAGTTAAGGAAGCACAGCAAGAGCCACTATAAGCAGGGGATGTGGCTCAGGGATACAATGCATGCTTAGCACACACAGGACCGTGCCTCAATTCCCAGCACTAACAAAAAAAAAAAAAACACTGCAATTCAACTTTACCTCCCAGTTCGAGAGTAGTTCAGTCTGTAGGGTCCAAACTGCCGCAGATTCAAGTCAAAGTGCTGGGAAAGGGAAGAGTGAAACAAGAAAGACTGGGCTCCCCTCAGTAATCACCTCCACTAGTCCCCATTCCTCTCTTGCCCTGCACCATCAATCAACCCATGATCACCCCTTCCCTCAGGCTCACCTTGGCAGCACTTGCAATGTCCACAGCTTCCACAATGTCAGCCTGGCGTATCTTTGCTGTGTCTTCCCCATCCTCCCCTTCCAAGAACCTGAAAGCGAGGTTAGGACGGCAGTAAAGTTTCTCAATATGAAGTTAGCATACCAACATAGAATGAGAAAAGCCATGTAAAGCTGGAACTGGGAAGGCTCGATTAGGGTCTACTCACCCAGGTTCCTCAGCAAGCAGCAACTCAGAACGAGCAGCTCTGACGCTTGCTTCTTCTTCCTGCGCTTCAGCTACCTCAAGTTTGCTTCTGGTTTTAGACTTAGAATATGGGAGCTATAACATTGTTGGTGGGGGAGGAGTAGGAGAAAACCTGAGTATACGTAGGGTCACAGGAGAGCCAGCTGGGCCGGCTTCTGTCCATCGCACCACCCACTCACTGCCTCCAGCCCTTCCCCAGTCTGGCTGGTCCTCACCTTTTTGGATTTGTCAATACGACGGAACTTCCGGGCCACCTCCACAGGGGCGGGGGCGGGGCCTGGGAACGGGTCCTGGGCCTGGGGCAGGACGGAGGCAGTTAGCGAGCGGGTTCTGTGTACCCAAACTTCTCTCAAAGCACAAGGCCCCTGCCCTGACACCCAATCAAACTCACCCCCGACAAGCTCCGCTCCGGCCTCCTCGGTTCTCGGGCCCTCCTTGGGACATGGGGTTTCATGGAGATCCGAGAATTCTTTGATATGCCACTGTTCTTTGGCCTCTGGGGTCCGGGCTCTCGATTCTTCCTCTTCGTAAGAGGGGGCCCTGGAGAGGCCCCAGCAGCGGTTGGAGTGGCCTCTTCCTCCCAGTATCGCCGCGGCTTCTACGGGCATATCACACGTCCTCTTACTCCGCAGCTCACGCCCCGACCCACGACCCGGCGGCTGAGAACTCCCCGTTCTGGGCCTCTACCTTCCTCTTAGCCTGAAGTTTGTCGTTCTTGGGCGGCACATCCCTACCCGGCCTTGGGACTGTCTCCATCTCGCCGACACCAAGGGTCCACGTGCAAAACTCCCTCGGCAGGTACCACAGTCCGCTCGGAAACTTCCGGAAACCCTCCTGCCTTCATCCAACCAGCGCCTTACCAGTTCTGAGCGCTTCTTGGCGCCATCTTGAGTGAGGGCGCGCCTCCCGTGAGCCGCCGAGGAGGAGCCGCCGAGGAGGCTCCCCCGAGCTGCCGCTTATGGCCGAGTGCTGAAGAACAGGCAACTGGGAGGCCAGAACCAAGAAACAAAAGTTTCTTGTTCCAGATTAGCTTCCCCATCTTGCCTAAAGCGTCTCGAGCCCAGTCTTTTAAGTAGGACGAGGCTCATTAAACATACAGAACTACATTTCCCGGCATTTGTCAGAAGGCAGCTTCAGCAGCGGTCTTTTCCCAGCATTCCATGTTTACTTCCGGGCTTTTCAATACAGAAGGAAGAACGTGAGTATATTAGGGTTTTGGTTGACGGGTTTGGGAGTCTTGTTTCGCCCTCCATCTCCTGGAACCGGGATAGAATCGCCATCCGAGAAGAGGCGAGGCTGCGGTGGCCGGAGGGGCTGCCTTTCGAGAGTGCTGTCACTTCCTCGGGCCGGGCCAGAAAGGAGACCTGGGGTACCTTCCAGAGCTCGAGACCCAGCTCTCCCCTCCTGCTCCCCGCAGGCTTTCCTCCTCGCCATGGCTGAGCTGATCCAAAAGAAGCTGCAGGGAGAAGTGGAGAAATACCAACAGCTGCAGAAAGGTAAAGGCGCAGGGTCAATGTGGCCTCACTCCAGTCCACTCACAACCCAAAGCCATGCCAAGATAAGCTTTACTGCCCCATCCCGGCCTCCGCCTGCCCATGCGTCCCCACCTCAGTATTTATCACCCACTGATGGAATCACTGTCTACTTCCTTACGTCCATTTTCTTCTGAATAAGATTGTGGGGGTCAGTGGCACATTTGATGTTTTTAATCTTTTCTCCCATCCCCCAGACTTGAGTAAATCTATGTCAGGGAGGCAGAAGCTTGAGGCACAACTAACAGAAAATAACATCGTGAAGGAGGTGAGGAACATGGACCTGCGGGTGAGGCGGAATTTGTACTGGCTATAATTCTATCATACATGTCTCCTCCCTACATCAGGAACTGGCCCTGCTGGATGGATCCAACGTGGTCTTTAAACTTCTGGGTCCTGTGCTGGTCAAACAGGAGCTAGGGGAGGCTCGGGCCACAGTGGGGAAGAGGCTGGACTATATCACGGCTGAAATGTAAGTCTTCGTTCCACCACCACCACCCTGTGAGGCACCTGACATTGCTGGAGTAGAAGTATTTGGGAACCTCTGTAGGATAGGTCTCCATAGTAGCCCCCAGCTGTCCATTTATGCCAACCCCTTCCTCCCCTTTTAGCCCCCTCTCCCTCCCTCCCTTAGATCTCTTTCTTACATTCAACACCTTCATTAGTAATCCCTACTAATTGCTCCTTTTCTACTTGCCTCCATTTTTCTCAGTAAACGATATGAATCTCAGCTTCGAGACCTTGAGAGGCAGTCAGAGCAACAGAGGGAGACCCTTGCCCAGCTGCAGCAGGAGTTCCAGCGGGCCCAGGCAGCAAAGGCAGGGGCTCCTGGGAAGGCCTGACCCATGGTGGGGGGGAGGGGAGGGAAGGGAATGAAGCAGCTCTAGGGTCTGTACTATAGTAGTTAATAAAATGTTAAAACACCTGACTCTTTTCTGTCCAGCCAGTGGTCATAATTATCTCTTATCAGTTCCTTCATCTCCTTCCACCCTATCCATACACTGTCTACATCCCTCCCTCTGGTCTAGGTTTTTGGAACTGGCAGGGTGATCCTTTCTTGAAACTCAAGTTTGAAATGCCTCCAACCTGCTTTTTGCCTGCATATGCAACCCTTTAAGAAACATGAGGACGTTTACACTGTAGCATATTGAGAATGTCAGTTTAATTTAAGAATCCACAATTCTTTAACCTGAGTCCGGGATGAAATGTTATATTCTGCTGTGAATACTTGTCAGTCTCCAAATAGCCCTGGCATCTCTTTTAGTTCCTTTTCAACCTCTGTCTTTCTAAAATTTGTTTGGATGTGGCTTAAACTGACTTAAAATTCCCAGCAAATTTATGTATTGTCCACAAAGTTGTTCTTTTCATTTCTTTGTCCTAAAATTGTTTCTTATAAATGTGACCTCAGGGCAGTTCTCCATAGTGATCATTTTAATTTGGTGGTTACTGCTTCACATGTATCTGTGAGAAGTAAGGAGAAAAAATTAAAGGGACCAGAAGGCAAGAAGTCACTGGAGAAGAATAAAGTTCTGAGGAAAACATTCTCATCAGTATGTTGCTTCAGCTCTTCATGGGAGTAGAAAACACTGTGCCCCTTATTGCTCCATGACTTTTACCTTCAGCCAACCCCCACTCCCACTCCCGGCAGCCAGTTCCTGTGCACTGCAAGCATGGGAGTAGAAATCAGGTAGTGTTTTGGTTTATTATCTTAGTGTTGTCACAGTGACAGTAACCCCCAGAACGGGAAAAGGAACTCCCATTAGAACTACTTGCCATTCCCCTCTGACCTGGGGCTCAGAACCTCTAGGCCTTTCTTCCCCCACCCCAACTCTAGGCCTTTACTTGGCCCTTCACATGCTAGAATGTGGCAGCAGTCAGAAACGGGTGCCTCTTCCCATCACTACCTGTGTGCCACATTCACCAGAGGTGGGGAGCTGAACACAGGTATCCCACTTGGTTACAAGGTCACCAGCTCCCACGGGGCTGGATTTCTCAGCAGTTGTAAACAAATGGCACTTCACTGCCCCAAGGTGTCGGACCATCCTTCAGAATTTCTGTCTCAATGTGATGTAACTACCACTGTTCAGGATGGCTACCCACATCTGATATGAACACCATGACCTCTGGAAGCCAACAGGGCTTCTTAGAACAGTGCGCGTGCAATCTTCCTCCCTGTGGCCTTGATCCTGGGAAAGGAGCCTCCTCCTCCCTCGCTTGGGGGAGTTCCTGAGGCAGATGGGCCGCTAGCAGAACTGGGTGTGGCAGTACAGGGTCTTCGCCGCTGCCGTAGGAGGAAATCGTGAGATGCTCCATCCATGGCATAAAAGACATTAGCTGAAGGTGGGATGGTCAGCTCTGCAGGTTTAGAGGTAGGTGTCAAGAACAGACAGTCATTCCTCCCACAACTGCCCAGATGTGGAAGTACTCCACTGACGGGCACCATTCCCCTCCCAAGTCTGCCTTCCTTCTTGGCCTCTGACCTCGCTCCCCTGGTAACAGCTGTACCAGCTCAAATTCTGAAGCTACTGCAGAATCACGATTGTTTTTCTTAAGGACACGACTAATGACACTTGGAGACTTGTCCTGGCTTGTCACCTGGCAGGACAGGAAACCAAAAGAGCAATAAATAGACCACAATGACCTCTGTTTCCCATCCTTGCTATCTCAGCCACCTACTTAACCAAAAAAGGTTACCTGTGTCCAATGCTTTAAAATGAACAAGAAACCCCATATGGTGGCTCCCTGTACCCCATAAGCCAGCCCAACATGATACCCAGTGAAAAAGGGCTGCTTCCCTGTGGGAAAATTGCTGTTGCTTCTGAAAGTCTAGTATGGCACCCAAGATACAAGTGTACCTGCTAATGCAAAGTAGTCATTGAAATAAAACTGCCAAAGCCAAAGGTCAGAATTAAAACTAGAATCAACTCCACTTGGTTGCCCAAATCTAAGACATTTACAGTCCAACAAGGCACCATTTTTCAACCCCTGCCCCAGTCCAAAGCTCCCTCACCAAAATGCTCTTGTAGACACTGCCGTCTTCCCCCAGCTCCATCTGGACTCGGATGATTCGGCAATCAGAGGCCCCAGGCCCAGATCCCCCTCCCCCATATCCAGTCCCCCTGGAGGCCCCTTCTCCTGTACCCCCACTCAATGGGGAGCCACAGGAGGCTGAGCGACGGTGACCTCGAGAAGGCCTAGGGGAGGAAGCTGGAGGAGAGAGGTGGCTGGCAGCCGGACTGTGCAAAGAGGGACTGCTTTCCAGGGCAGAGTCCAAAGATGAGACAGATGGCCACTTCATGTGCTAGGGACAAACAACAGGGAGGTCTGTTATGAAGTGAGGGAAGTTAAGAATGAAATATTCAGAGTCAGGGTCAGTGTGATCAGAGGTCAGGAGAACTCACCTGGGCCAGCCGGGTCAGCAGAGGAGCAGGGGTTCCAGGTACTTCATCTCCTCCCACACTTGGCCGATCCCAGGACACAAGGGGGGTGGGACCCCCAACAGAACCCAGAACCCTGGAATGACAGGAGATTGAGGGAATCTGAGGAAGAGTGGAAAGCCCCCAAGAAGCCACCTCCCAGCCATTGACTCCCTCACTCTGTCCACTGTGAGATGACCAGCGTTGGCCGAAGCACCCTTGGGGCAGCAGGTTCACTGGTACCAGATGGCTCCACCTCACAGGATACACGGTGACTAGGGAAGGGTGCAATGGGCAGAGGTCAGTATGTGCCATCAATCCCCTATACCCAGCCAAAGATCCCCAACTTCTCCTAACCAGTCACCTCTGAGCATCAGTCAGTGGCCGGAGCCCCGAAAGCCATTGTTGGATATCAGGGTCAGGTTGGAGGTCATAGCCATGACATTCATTCTGGAGCCGCCGCAACTCAGAAAGGACAGCAAACTCCTGGGAAGGAGTCCTCAAACTGCAGGAGCCAAAACTCAGGGACCCCCAACATTCCCCTCTTCCTCCCCTTTCTGTGACATGGATAGGGATGTCTGGTATCCAGCCCATGTGGTCCTCTCACCTTCCTCCGCTTGTCAAAATTGATGTATCCATTCTGCAAGGACAACAAGGAGTGAAAGTGCTAACCCCGCTTTGTACTCAGAGAAAAGAACAGCCCTCCCCTAAACACATCCCCACACATTCAACTCACACTGCTCTGCCAGCCTCCCTGTCTCCTCCAGGCCTCCTCTTCCTGTCACATCTCTCATGCCCTAAACTCTCCATCCACCCTTTAAATTAATGTCATAGGTAGAAAATATGGCTAACTTTACAGATGAGAAAATAGAGCTCAGAAAGGGTGAGGAACCTGCCGGGTGCCAGTGGCTCACACTTGTAATCCTAGCTACTTAGGAGGCAGAGATCAGGAGGACCGAGGTTTGAAGCCAGCCCGGGCAAACAGTTCCGTGAAACCCTATCTCAAGAAAACTCTTCACAAAAAATAGGGCTGGTGGAGTGACTCAAGGTAAAGGCCCCAAGTTCAAGCCCCAGTACTGAAAAAGAAAGAAAGAAAAAAAGAAAGGATGAGGAATTTGCTTGAACAATGTTTAATTTTGTTTATTTTTGGCTTTGTGGTGCTGGGGATGGAACCTAGGGCCTTGTGCATGCTAGGCAGGTGTAATATTGATCTTCATCCCCAGTTCTTGGGTATCTGTTTATTTTATAAACTACATATGATGATATTTCATGCAAATTAATTTGTCTCTCACAGTAACAGGTTTATGTAGATATTATCACCTATCACATAGTGATAGTGTAAGTGATACCATCGATCACCTATGGTAAAACTAGTTTCCCATTCACAAACCACTGAGGCAAAGAGATTAACCAACTTGCTACAGTAATAAAACCTGGCTCCAGAGCCTAGCTCTCAGTTGCTTAGGTCTTGCAGCCGATTTTTTAGAGAGAAGTCTGCCTGACCCTGAGGTACACCTGTATGTCATCGAAGTGCAAACATACACAAACACATACACACCCACAAAGAAGAAAAACCTACTGACCTCCAGCTCATCCTTTGAGGCTGCATCCAGCATCACAAGGTCCTTCAGGAAGGTACCAAGGTATGGAACCACACCCTGCAGTTCAGAGATCAGGAGGTCAGGGTCAGACACCCTGCCAGTGCTCTGAGGGCCCTTTGTCCCTTTGCACTTTCCTCCCCATAGCCTCTGAGAACAGATTTCATTTTTCTCATCCCCTCAGTCCCCTTCCCAGCACACATACTGCTCCCCTCATACACATTCCAGACTCCTTTCCACCTCCACCACCACCATCCCAGGCTGGTTACTCACCCCACCCCGGGAACCAGACCTTGAGGCCTTCTTGGAGTGCGGCTCTAGAGAGGGCTGTGACTTTACTTCCTGATGGTGACAAACCAGGATATATGGGGGGAGAGGGATTGGCACAGGAAACGTTGGGAATGCAGAAAGCAGAACCTCACCTGAATAAGGAGCTCCCGGCTCTGGGAATAATTGTCCTCCTCAGAGAAAATCTGGCAGAGACTGGAAAAGACTCTGAGGCTGTCCCTGGGGGAGGGAGAACAGTGGTCCTCAGGACAGTTCAGCTCAGTCACCCCCTCTTCCCATTCCTCAGGGGAACTCCCACCCTCAGTCCAGTGCTATGTCCTCCCACCTGGCTGCTTCCCCCCAAGCTGCCCGAAGCCTGTGGATGGGGCTGGACTGCAGGGCTGACACAACGGCGTAAACTGAAGAGAAGTTTCGGAGCAGTCGGCACTCCTGTGGAAGCCCAAGAAGAAAGCCAAGGCTGTGGGGCCCCTCTCCACATCATAGTCCCCCATAGGGTAATCTTCTCTTACCTCTGCCACACGGATCCACTTCTCCAGGAGCCGGGCCCTCTGGGGGGGCCGGAGTGGCCGTATGGTCACCTCCCCAGGCCCCTCTCCAGTTGGGATGGCCCCCAGGACAGAGCTAACCACTGCCCCTGCCACCTTGTTGAATTGTGTGACAGTAGCTCGGACAGATGGGCAGAGGTGGGAATGTCCTGGCCGGTCTCTGTGACCCCATAATCCCCCCAAACACTGAGAAGGTACCAGGTTGAGAAATAGCTCCTGCAGGACAGAGATCAAGAGATTAAAGTTCATAATCAAGTGAGATGAGCCTTCTAACATCAGGGATCTGAGGATCTCAGGTGGCCAAGGAATCACAGGGGCACAGGGTTTGAAGGGTAACAACCAAGGGGAGAAGGGGAAAGGTCAAAACAATAAAAGGAGGAGGATGGGAGCTGGATTAGGAAGGACTGGAAGCAAGGGAAGGATCTGGAGTCAAGGAGAGGTAAGGGGTCAGGGGCATGGGGTCAAAGGTCAGGGTCTCACCGCATCTAGCAGGGTCAGCTGTTCGGCCAAGTGGTCAGCGAGGAACACCAGGACATCCGTGGGGTCAGCAGGGGGATCGCCGGGGAGGGCCAGGGGCTTAGGAAGGTCAGGGGCCTGGGAGTCCACCCGGGACCGGAGGTTTCGGATGATGTCAGTGCTGCCCTCCCCAACACCCTCCCTTGCTGCATACCCTGTCCGAAGCAGGAAGCTCTCAAGCCGGTCAAGCTGACCCTTGACCTCAGAGCCAAAATCCTCAGGGTGAGAGGCCAGCCAGGTTGACAGTACAGAGATGGCTACCCTGGGAGAAGGGGAGCCAGCCAATGGTCAGAGGTCCAGCTGAAGCTTTGACAGAGGGGACTGAGATGAGGGTCAGGGGTCACTCACTCTGTTGTCCTTTCTAGCTCATCGGTACAATGAGATTCAAGGGCTTCCAGTCTGGGGAAGGGAAGAGAATCTACTTGTACATTTTTACAAACTCCCTATGGCTCTGACTGTTGCAAGAATGTCCCAGCTTTAGGCAATCCAGACACTTCTACACCCATGGTCCCTTATGATCCTGACCTGTTAGCCACAAGCCCAAGCAGGGCAGGCGTGGAGGTGAAGGCCCGGTGTGTGGCCAAGAAGGCTGATATGAAGGTCATGTCAGCCCCTGATGTCCGGGCATCCAATAGGTGTCTAACCAGGGCCTCCAGGGTGCCAGCCCGGAGTCGTCGGGAGGAACGTGGAGGCGGAGTGGGGGCCTGGAGGACACAGAGGGCTGGTCACTGACTTTTTCTTCAAATCTGCCACAGGGTATCTATGACAAACCCAGTCCTAGGAGTGAACCCAGCTCATTTTGCTGAGATTAAGAGAAGACAGCAGGGCACCGGTGGCTCATGCCTGTAATCCTCACAAGGCAGAGATCACAGTTCCAAGACAGCCCGGGCAAATAGTTCATGAGACCCTCTAAAAAAAAAACCATCACAAAAAAGGGCTGGTGGAATGGTTCAAGGTGTTAGCCCTGAGTTCAAACCCCCAGTACCGGGGGGAGGAGTGGGGGGAAGAAAGAGAGAGAGAGAGAGAGGACAAAGGACCAGGCCTAAGTCACACAGCAGAATCCTGGAATCCAGACCTCCAACCCAGCATTCTGGCCAGAAAATCAGCCAGAGGAAGGGGAACCGGGCAGTGAGGGATCAGAGGTAAGAAGCCAAAATCATGATCTCACCAAGGGATCAAGAGGCCGATATTGGCGGCTTGTGACTGTAAAAGTGGCACCATCCTCCTCCTCCTCCCAGACAGACACAGGGGCCTGAAGGAGCAAGGAAGGGGAAGTCAGACAGTTCCACACCACCACCCATGGTCCCCAGCCCTCTTATTCCAGGCCCTGCTCCCCCTCTGTACCCCTCACCTGTGATGGCAGGGGACAGTACCAACGAGTGCGAGGGGTGGGGGGGGCTGGTGACCCCAGATCTCCCCCACTGGGGCCCAGACAGCCCCCCCCCAGCCGCCTCAGGGCCCGGTAGAGTCTTGGGGGTTGCAGTGGAGGGTTGGACTGAATGCAGAAACCCTTATCCTGGAGATCCCTGAGGCCCCTTCCCCCCAGAGCTGAGCCCCAACACAGTAGAGAAGCAGGGTGCAAAGGGCAGGAGAGGGAAGCCAAAGAGGCAGGAAGCCAAAGAGGCAGAAAGCCAAAGGCAGAGACCTTGAGAAGCTGAAACCTCAGGCACAGGCACAGTCACATGCCCCGCCCTCCCCCACCAAAACCTGACAAGCCCGAAGATTTAGTCCTTCCCATTAGGCCCCTCTCCCCAGATCCTCTAGGGTGGGCCTTCCACTATCTCAGCCCTGGGGATCCCCTAGAAGGTGGCGGCTCCAATCCCAGTACAGGAAGGAGAAGGGGAAGTAGGGATGTGCTGGTGGTGGTGGTGGTGGTGGGGTAGACTCAGAGTCACGTGGCCCTAGCCCCTCCCCCGACCAATCCCGAAAAACCAGCCCTGCCAGTCGCCTTGCCTTTACCCAGGGTCTGGACCCAGGAGTCCAGAGCCTCTGGCCCCAAATCTAATATCCAGCCTCTCCTAAAGTCCCAAATCCTGCCCCCAGCCACCACTATTGGCCCCTAGGGATAGAGATGATCACACCGTACCTAGCCTGGGATCACCCCTCCAGGTCCCAGAACCTTGGCTTTCCCACCTCTACTAGCACCAGGGGATGGGCGGGGGAGGGAGGGGTCACGAAATCTGAGGTTCCCTCCCCAATCCCAGAGTGAGAGGAGCTGGTTACTGTGGAAACAAACCCCTCCCCGCCAAACAAAAACAGGGAGGGATACAGGGACCAAGACACAACTGCCCAGGGGCAAACACACTCAGGCAGGCAGAGGCAGACAGGGCCAGGGCCCCGCAGGCACAGCCCAGCCAGACATTCCAGGCAGGAACAGGACAGGATCCTGCGGGGCAGGTCCTAAGTCACACTGACACACAGAACCACTGAGACGCCAGGACCCACAGCAGGGAGACAGGCCGATACCCAGCCACAGGCGCAGATATAACTGAGGCAGGGAGGAAGAGATGGTGGGACCCAGAGATACCGAGAGAGGTGGAAAGTCTCTGTAATATTTATGCCCCCTACTCCCACCACCCGCATCTCACCTCTTCTTCTTCCTCCTCCTCTTCCTCCTGCCCCCCGCCCACGGCCCGGCCACCTGGGTCCCCACCCTGTTCGGGGTCTCGGCTCCGGAAGCTGCTCAGCACGACTCCCCCGGGGGGGCTCGTGTCCAAAAGCAGCCGTAGGGGCCGAGGGAGCATGGCCGAGTGAAGGAATCAGCGGGGTCGGGCCATGGGGGCGCCTGGGGAGAGACGGGGTGAGGGGTTGGAGAGTCAGGCGGGCATGGGGGAGCGGGGCAGGGAAGGGACTCGGGTGGGTCTAGGTAACAGGATGGGAGTCCTGCAGGAAGTCTGCGGGAGGGGGTAAAGGGGTGGAAAAGAGGGTACATTTCGGGGGTGAGGCGATCACGAGCACGGGTACGGCAGGGTCACCCAGTGCTCTAGCTCTGACCTGCTCGGGAGGGGTGGGGGCAGCGCGGGTCCCGGACCGCTGTTCCTGTCGGTCTCCAGCCCCCAACCGAGTCCCCGGACCGAATCCCCTCCCCGACTTTTCCGCACCCCCCTGTGCCCCCCTCTCCGCCGGGCTCCCGGGCCCTCCCGCCCTTTCCGCTCCCCCCCGCGTCCGCCCGCTCCGAGAGCAGGAGCCAAAAGGGGAAGGAAGTGAGGACAGGAGCCAGGGTGGCGGACTAGAGGAGCGCAGGATACCCAGGGGCCGGGACCCAAGGGTCCAGATCCCCACTTCCACTGTCCCCTGCTACCCCCTTTCGGGATTCTGGGGCCTACGTCACCCAACATTCAATCTGGACAAAGATTCGTCTCTCCGGCCTCCGAGGGAGGGAAGGAGCGGAATTTGGAATCCCCACCCCCAACAAGAGCAAGAATAAAACTCCCGCGGTAAGTATTTTAGGCGGGGAGGGACCCTGTTACTCCACCCCGCAAGGTTACGCTCCCACCCCAACCCACGAGTGCAGTGAACCGAATCCACTCCGGGCTTTCTGAGGAGCCCTCGTTCCCGCCCACCCGCCAGGGGGCGGGACAGGAAGGTGCCGCTTCCGGCTCAGGCTAGGCGCTTGGGGTTTCCGGCGCTCGCGGCTGGGCTCTGAGCTCGCTGGGTTCTGGAGAACCATCTACTTGGGCGTCTCCAAGCTCTGGCGTCTGCACTGATTCCCAACGGGACAGGTCTCCCTCCGAGGCGTTTGGGAGGCCGGGTGATTGGAAGGGTAGAGGGGAGGGGAAGATTCATTGTGTTTGGAAAGGGGATAGAATGAGAGACCGGTTGGAAGCACTGGAACACTTTATTCCGACACCACTAGACCTGTTCTCCCGATCGCCGGGCGGACGACCGTCCTGCCCCTCAAAGGTCCTTAAGCCGCGCCGCCGCTTCCTTGGTCGTGTCCAGCAGCTGTTTGCTGAGCGCCCTCCAGTGGGCGCCAGGCCCTGTGCTGGCGCGTGGCGTCCAGCGGAGGACAGGCGGCTTGTCCCAGCCCTCGAGTCGGGGAGGGAGACAGGCATTTAACGATTCACACAATCACGTAATTACAGCTTTGGTGACCCGCATGAGAGTGACACGTAGCAGGCCCAGGGAAGTTACGAGGCCGACCCGGGAGGGGGAGGGTGGAGCAGGTAGGGGGACAGAGCGTCGGGATCCCGGAGGCAGGCCAGGCGTTTGGTTCCTTGGAGGAAAGGCCTAGTTGTCGTCTGAGAGGAGGACAGGGGAGCATCCCAGGGCTAAATAGGTAGGCAGTGGTCGGGTGCGAGGGACACACAGGTCGGGCCAGGAGAATGAATTTGGCCCTAGAACAGCGGTTCTCCACGACTGTTCTCTTAGAGGTCTCCAGGACTTTTCCCTAACAATGTTAAGATATTACTTGCCTTTTTCGTTATAATTCTATGAAGAGTGTACAAGTGGAGTTTCCCAGAAGCTATATGATGTGTATTGACACCATGACTCTCAATGAAGAGAATGTGTGCTTGTGTGTTCTGGTGTCTCAAGTTTTGGTAAATAAATATCAGTAGTTAGTATAACCCACATAACAAAGCTTTTTAGGCTGTCTGATAATTTTTAAGAAGTCCTGACCGGAAATTTTGAGAACCACTGCCGTAGAGCCATAAGATGTTTTTTTTTAAGAAAATAAAATTTCAGCCACTGAGTGGAGGAAGTTTCAAGGCAGTAGGAGCAGATAATGAGTACTGTTTCAGGGAGCTACTACAGTAGCTTGGGCCAAAGATGATGATGGTGTCCACAGGATGGTGTGAGTGCCTTCACTGTGTTTTCTGGAAGAGAAGTAAGAAGGAAGTGAGGGATTAGGGGCTTTAGGAGTTAGGGTGAGGTGGGCGTGGTCAATCCAGAAACAACACTGTGAGCACAGAGAGTGGGAGAAGGATGGGGCTAACGTTTTCTACCTGCCAGATGCTGTGCTGAGTATTTTATCTCTTGCATCTTCTAAAAGAGAATATGCTATTTCCTTTAAGCCTCCTAGCAGTCCAACGTGATAGCCACCGTATTGGTGGCTGCTGAGCATATGTGAGCATATGTGGCTGCTGAGCATTTGAAATGTGGCTAGTCTGAATTTAGATGTGCTGACAGAAGCTAGGGATATAGCTCAGTGTTAGAGTAGGACTTGCCTAGTATGTTCAAGTCCTTGGGTTTAATCTCCTGGAGGGAGGGAAGAAGGGAAGGAGGGAGGAGAAGAAAGAAAGGGAGGAAGGAGTTGTGATGACAATAAACACTTGCTTGTGAAGATTTAGGAAAAAAAGACTATGGGATCAACCCAAGTGCCTCATGCCTGCAAGCATGCTAGGCAAGCACCCTATCACTTTATCCCAACTTTATAGTGTCTTACATTGTTTATATGTTAAAATGACAATATTTGAATATATAAGATTAAATATATTATTAAACTAATTTGCCTGTTTACTTTTTTTTGAGACAGGATCGCTACAGCCCAGGTTGAACTCAGGATTCTTCTGCCTCAGCCTCTCAAATGTTGGGATTATAAGCATGTGACACCATGGCTGACTTTTTAAAGTCCCCATACCCAAAGAAACTGAAATGAAGATCAGTAGCACGTTCAAGGGACATTACAGTTAGGATGTAGGGCAGGATTTAATCTAGGTCTGTGTGAATTCTAAGTTGATCTGCCCTCCACACCAGCAGCCTCTCCCTCCATGACTGATGAGTTGGGGAAGGGTTGAGAAGGGAAAGATAAGGAGAAGTGGAGCATTGTTACCTTCTCTTTCAAATCCTTGCAAGTGGTCAGGTAGGCAACTGTGGAAAGATGGAGAGAGAATGGGATGTGGGGGTGATCTAGAGAAGGCAGAGGGATGAGAGTCGGCATCTGGGAGTAGGTGGGGACTGTCTCCTGGAATTGAGAGTCATGGTCAAGAGTAGGGTTCACACTCACCAACCCAGCCCAGCACCTTGACTAGTCCGAGGAAGAGAAAGGCAGACAGGAAGAGGCCTATGCCATCCTCTAGTGAGGGCCCAGAGAAACCTAGAAGGTAGAAGGAGTGAGAGTGCGTGAAGTGTTTCCCAAAGTGCCCCCCCCACCCCCAGCTCCATGGCACTTCTGGTTCTTACCTACCACCTCCAGGGTGACCTCCACACTGCGCCCTGAGGCAGGCAGGCTGGAGTGGTAAACTCGACAGGCATAACGTGCCCCATGCTGCTCGGTGGTGACCGGAGGTGGCTGCAGGTACCCCAAGAGGCTGACAGAGCCATCAGAGTGGTGGCGGAGGGATGAGAGCCACTTTTGCCCCTCAGCCTTCCGAGAGCCGCCCTCTGGGCCACCTCGGAGCTCCCACTCCACCTCTAGACCCTCAGAAGGGTAGAAGTGGTTCACATGGCAGAGCAACTCTGGGGGTGTCTTCCCTGGGGCAGCCCATACAAGGGGTGCTGGCGTTAGGGACACTTTAGGGGACTCTGGGGAAAGAATAGGAAAGAAGTTTGAATGACTCAATTCACAGCATCTGCCCTCAGTTTGCCCTCTGGCTTTCTCACAGCATGTGGGTGGAGTTCCAAGGATGGAGAACTCATTGTCTCCCCATTGGTGCTTCACAGAAATCCCCATGCCAAAGTCCCTCAGATTCCCAGGGCCTCTCCACCTCTCACATTACCCCTCACTCAGGCACCCTCTTCATCATCTTCACTGTATCATGGTATTCTTCTACCCCTAGAAACTTCTGTCCCCCACTTACTGTACACAGAGAGCTCCAGATCGACTTGTCCTTGCAGGTATGGTAGGTGTACAATGGCCAGATACGTGCCCTCCTGAAAAGGTTGCACTGCAGGCAGCCAGATGGTCCCATTCCCAGTCCATGGGCCCCATGGCTCATCATCATCCCAAGCTGCAAAAGCCACTGCCCCCTCTTGGGTCGCTGGTATCTTCCCACCTAGACCAGGAGTTGCAGCCAGGAGAAGGTGCCCCTTACCCAGGTGCTGGCGTCGCCACTCCAGCCCAAAGGGAGGGGGACCTGGGGCCAGAGATGAAGCAGCCTCAGGGGTGGGGGGCATGTAGGAGAAGCTCAAGTCCAGCACTGCATCTTGTCCCATTTGGATTCGAGGGCCAGGTGTGTGAGTAAGGACAGTCAGTACCACTGGGAAAGAGTGGAATGGGAGGAAGACAGACATGGGAGAGAAAAAGGAGAAAAAATGGAGAGAAATGAAGTTAAAGGGTGGACCAAACTCCAATTTACTCACCCTTCAGAAGACACCTCATTACTGTTACACCATCTCTGAGTCCTATTTGTACATCCCTTTGCACTGAGAGCCAGTGTGTCTGAGTGAGCAGAAAGGTGTAGGAGTGGAAAGGGCAGTGAGGGCTGCAATCTTTGAAGTCTGCTCTGATGATGCTGCCCATGTGTGTGTGGTGTGTGCTGGGTGGTTGTACATTGTGGCATATATAAAAGTTCTTAACAATATATCAAATATATCATACTTGAACTCACCCCCTCCACCACCACCACTCGACTTTTAATGCTGGGGATCAAACCCAGGGCCTCAAACATGGTAGGCAAGCTTTCTATCACTGACCTACATCCCCAGCCCCTCCTAATCTCTAAAATAGGGATGATAATAAGCATACCTAACTACCAGAGTTTTGTTCAGGTTAAATTATTTAATACCTGTTGCTACACAAATCTGTTCAGTTCCTGATTTTAGATAACAAGACATCTATATCTGAAAGGTACTTAGAACATGGGAATTCTACAAAAAGTGTTTGCTGTGATTGCACCTAACAGTGCGTCAGACTGACTTATGTCCCAACCAACTCAACAGCATCCCTGCCAACATTCCCGAACTCAACTCCAATGCCCACCTCTGTATTTGATGAATGGTCATCATCAGCCTCCCCTCCCCTTCCCCAGACACTAAGGCAAACACCTGGAGTCATTCAAACTCCTTCCTGTTATTAATTCAACACATATTTATTGAACATCTAGGCTGTTCAATGCATATTGATAGGACACAGTGATTAATCAGATAGGCAGTCTATGCTTATCAAATTGCTTATAATCTAATGAAGAACAAGTAAATTAACAAAAATAACATGCTATGTACTATCCCCACCAAGCCCTAAAACATAACATCTATTTCCAACTCAGGTTGACCTCAACCTACATTTGGACAATTAAAACAGCCTTCTCACTGGTCTCCTTGCCATGAGTCTCTCCTTCAATTCTTCCTTCACACTATAGGCAGTGTGGCTGGCTACAAATCTGATCAGGTCACTTGCCTAATTAAAATCCTAACTGCCACCTGGGCATGGTAGCACATGCCTGTAGGCCTGGCTACTCGGGAGTCTGAAGTAAGAGGATCATTTCTGCTTAGGATTTCAAGTTTGGGACTAGCCTGGACAACACAATGAAATCCTGTCTCAAAAGACAAAAAAAGATGAAGGAGGAGATGAAGAAAAGGCAGCAACAGCAGCTACCAAAGAAGACAACAGCTAAAGGCACACAGCACACAGGCTGGAGCTAGATAGTGTAGGTTCAATTTTTATTTTAGACAAGTACTGGGGTTTGAACTCAAGGCCTCATGCTAGGCAGAGGTGCTCTACCACTTGAGCCACACCTGCAGCCTCCAACCTAAGTTCAATTTTAAGTCCTACTTTTTATAAACTGTATGTTCTTGGGTAGATAACTTAATTGCTCTGTGTCTCAGATTTCTTCATTTGCAACATGACAATTGAATAAATAAGATTATGCATATACAGAAGATGCTTGATAAATGTTAGTTACTATTTTCATTATCTTCATCATTGTCATGGACTTGCTGGGTATCTTGGGAAAAATCACTTTTAGTCTGTATTTTCCTCACTTAGTCCCATTACCAATTTTTTTTTTTTTTTTTTTTTGCCACACTGGGGTTTGAACTCAGGACCTGACACTTGCTAGGCAGGCACTCTTACTGCTTGAGCCACTCCACCAGCCCTTTTTTGTGATGAGTTTTTCAAGATAGGGTTTGGAGAACTATTTACTGGCTTTGAACTGTGATCCTTCTGATCCATACCTCCTGAGTAGCTAGGATTGCAGGTGTGAACCACCACTGCACTCCCACCCCCACCCCTTCCATTACCAATTCTTGGTAAATAAGAGGCTTTTTGGAAAAATGGCTCCCTCTTAAAAAAAAAAAAAAACTTCTCAGACTTCATTATCATCTGTAGAATACAGCCCAGTCTTCAAGATAACCATGCCACCAAACCACTTTACTAGAGTTCTTGTACCCTAAAAAAGTTACATACAATCCTTTTCTTGTGCCTAATAGAAGCACTAATCATCAGGCATCTCTTTGCTTTAGTCATGTGGTTCCTTCAGTTTACAGTGTCCTTCTCATTTTCTTCCTCATCTAAATGTTCCACGTCCTCCAAGGTCAGTTCCATTGCTACTTCATTTCAAAATGTCTGAGTGATCTTTTTTTTTCTTGTCATATTCACTTACTTGTCTTGGGGCTGGCTAAGTAAGCACTCTACTTCGATACATTCCCAGCTCTTTTGTGTATCTTTAACATTTTTCATAACAATATTGTAAAAGAATGGTGAGAATTAAACATTACACATTAAGAAATTATATTTCAGGCTATGTAGCTCAGTGGTGGAGCACTTGCCTAGCATTGGATGCCCTGGGTTGGATTTCCCAGCATTGGAAAAAAAAAAGCATATCTGTAAGAGTTACTTTATATAAGTGTATATTAGCAAAATTATCAATGATCTCACTTTTTTCATTTATAGTTTTACATCAAAGCAACAGCTTTCATTAAGTCCCTAATTAAGGAGAAATGTTTGACAAGGAAGATAGAACATAGTAACTTGCTTTTACCCCAGTGGTCTGTGAGATGCAATCTTCCCACCTGGGCAACCCCTGGGCCCCCTATCTGTATTTCCTCCATAGGCACCAGTTTGTTTGTTTATTTATAGACAGAGTCTTACTGTGTAACCCAGTAAACTGGGTTTAAACTTTTGATCCTCCTTTCTCAATATCCTGAGTGCCGAGATTACAGAAATGTGCTATCATGCCTGGCTCAGGCTTTGGTATATTTTAGAAGCTTCTAAACAAGATTCTTAGTTGCAGCCCGGTCTAAGAACTACTGGGCCCTAACTTGTTCTTAATGCTAGTAAATATTTATTGAATCTGGGTAAATTAATACAGTAGCTCCTGAGATAGTCACAACAATGGAGAGGCAGCTGGGAAATAATATCTACTTTATAGTTGCAAAAACAGACTCAAAGAGAGAAGGACATTCTGACCACCACCTCACAGTGAAGCCAGCTCGAGGAAATATTCCTCTGGTGAGAGCTGCTGTCCCCACAACAAGCAGTGTTCCTTTGCCCGGGCCCTGATCCTGACCAGGGAACTAAGAATGGAAGTGTGTTAAGCACAGAGAGTTTCAGAGTCCATTCTCCTGGTCCTGTGGGTGATTCTGAAAGATGAAGGAAAAGGGTACAGGGGACAAAAGGGTGCAGGGACACGGTTTGGGCTCCTGCTATCTACCAGACTGTGTTTATATAAAATTGAGGGAGACTGACAGAAGTCAAGGATTCTCTCTGCCTATATCTGGCCTCCACAACAAGAAGTGAGAGCCTCTAGATATCCAGGTTGGATCAACCCCATTTCAGCATTATTCACCCATTTCCTCCCTGTGCCCAGCAAAATGGACACTCAAACTTTGCAGAAGGAAACATCCAGTCTCCCACCAGGTCCCTTCCGCCATCTAGAGCCCACTGTTTTCAAACCATAAAGAGTGAGCTCATGCCCGCGCATCTTAGGAAAGCAGCTGTAAGGGAAGGTAATAAATGTGCTTTAGTGTAAGATCTGTTGCTTTGCTTATAGCCACAGCGCCAGTGTGGGTTTGGGTGAGGTTCGAAGTCTGGTTTTTGAAACAGGGTGAACTGCAAAGGTGAGAGATACAAGATACAGAGCTAGAAGAAGTAGAGGAAAAAAAATTCCAGAATTCCAGCTTCTGAACCACTCCCTACCCCATCACCTTAAACGTTTCTCAAGGTCCAGTCTCAGCAAAGCCCCGCCCTTCGGAGGACCAGGAAGCCCCGCCCCCAAACCACTGTTTTACAGTTCAGGCTACAAGAAGAGGTAGAGACACATTAATTCTAGCCGAGTGCCACGCTTAACAAAAAGGAAACTGAACCCGATTGGAGAAATGACTTGCTCAAGTCCATACAGGGAGTCGCTGGCTGATCTGGACCCATCCATCTCTATCTCCCTTCCCCAGTACCTGTTGCCATGGTGATGAGAACAGGCTCCTGCTGAGGCTCCGGCTGTTGTCGTAAGAGGCTGGAGAGGCTGAAGACCGAGCTAGATATGCTGACCATGAGCCAAGCCCCGTCCAGGGCTCGCGGACACCTCTGCTCCGGTGTCAGGCTTCTGGCCCAATTCGCAGAGGCGGGAAGCGGAATGAAGCTGCTCAACTCGCAGTGTGGTGCGGCGGCGTCCCGGGGGTATCGCCTGAAGGCAGACCGCAGGGTGCCCGCGGGGTCTGTGGGAGCGGAGAAGGGAGTACAGCTGTAGAATGACCGCCGGGAAAGGGGCTGGAAGGGAGCGTTTGGGGAACTTCAATTGCAAGACCACCCCGTACTGAGCTTAGCGGTAATTCTGACTCATTTTCAGAGTGGGAAACTGAGGCCTATGGTCACTCAGTGTGAGATTGAAAGAGAAGGGGCTGCTCCTTCTCTCCGGAAAAATAAAAAGTTTGTAAAGCGGGGTTTTCCATGGAGGGAGTTGGGGAGAGGGATGAGTCCCAGAAGACTCACCGTCCACGCTGAGGTAGAGCTTAGGGTCAAGGTCCGGTCGGGGCGGCGGTCCCCCCGGTCCCGGGCGCAGAAGCAGTGCGGCGGGTTTCATGGCCAGACTACCCGTGCCTGCATCCTCCACGAACCAGCACTCAATGGCTGCGGGTCCTGCCGAGACGACGTTCACTAGGCCTGGGGGAAAGGGGCGCCAGTGACTGGGAGGCCAAGATGTGGAGTTACCCTCCCCACGGCGTCAGACGCCGGCTGGGACCACGTCTCTCCGTTTTTCCTCCACCCGGATCCTGAGTGAGAAGTCCCAGGGTTAGCTCACCCAAAGCCACAGAGAGGAGCAGGGACAGGGACTTCATGGCGCTGAGATCTTCTCTACCCTGAAGCCTCCTCTTCCCCCTTTCACTTTCACTTTCTTTCAAAGGCCAGCAGGAGGGGCACAGGAAATCCCCTGCTCTGGATAGGTGAGGGGACGTGGGAGGCGTGCGCGTTGCCCAAGAGCCGTGCAGGGATCCCGAACATCCTTTCCAGCTCTCTTTGGCACCTGCCACGCCCCCCTGGACCACCCGGCAGCACCAATGCCCTTCCCATACCTAGGCTTCGCTTCCGGTTTCCTTCCCGCAGCCTAGAACCTTACTCCCAATTTCCCCAACCTGTGCCAGGTCCCCAGCAAACACAGAGGGGTTGTCAAGAAGCCAAGTGAAGTAACCAATAAATATTTTAATCACTGTTAAAATATTAAAACCTGTACTACGATTTAGTCCCTTGTCTCCACCCACTCCCTCCTGAAAATCGAATTGGGGATCCCCATGGGAGGCATGTGAGATAGTATAGAAACAGGTGCACATCCTGCAAAAGGGGATAGGTTCTAGGACAATAGTGAGACTCTAAGGCCTCATCCCCACAACACGAACACAGACTTCAGACACAGACTACAACAACCTGATTCCAGGATACTCAAAACATTCCCTCCTCCCCCCACCACCATGTTCACCCTACTCTGTGGAGCCAGGGCTTTGGTGTACCCATCAGAGGGGAAAGTCTTACTTAGTTGGAAAGATACTTTAAGAGGAAGGAAGGGGCCGAGGAATGGAAGGGGCTGGTGATGCTGCTGCTGGGAGACTGATTCTCACTGGCCCGTCTCCAGAGTATGTACAAGTCCATAAAGATAAAGGAAGACAGCTAGGTGTGATGAGAGAAAACCCAGGGACCACAGCACCCCTAGAAAGTGCTTCCTATTCCCTGTTCTCCAAAAGCTACCTCAACTGCCTAACTCTTCAGTTTGTTCCTCCACCCCCATTGAAACCCATCTCCACCTTGTGGACACTGGGTGGGGACCAGACGCGTCTGCTGGACGGGGGCGTAGCCCCATTCGCCTCATCGCCACTGCCCCCGCCTGCTCCGGAGGACTCTCTTTTGGGCTGCAAGGCTGGCCCAGCGGGCGCCCCGGGTCCGGGTCCGGTTCCGGGTCCAGCCCCGCCCCCGCCCATTCGGTGCCGGCGCTCACAGTGTCCCCGGTGACGCATGAAGCTGTCTCGCCACATGAACTTCTTGGCGCAGACGCTGCACTCGTAGGGCTTGAGACCTGTGTGCGTCTTCATGTGCTCGGTCAGATGGTGTTTCATCTTGAACTTCTTGTTGCATACGGGGCAGTCGAAGGGTCGCAAATTGAGATGCATGTTCACGTGCCGGTCCCGCATGCTCTTGTGGGAGAAGGCCTTCCCACAGTGGCACAAAAAAATCTTATTCCCTTCCCCACTTCCGGTCCCTCCAGGGGCCCCGCCAGCAACACCAACGCTACTGGGTACGCCCAGGCCCCCCGCTGATGTGCCTCCCAGGGTCACCGCCCCATGTTCTGCTTGGTTCCCTGGTGGCGGGCCTGGAGCCTGGGAGGAGGAAGAGGAGGAGGAAGATGAAGACGATGGGAAGACCAGGATTTGGTTGCCCTGCATGTCCAAGGGCAGAAGGGGACGTGGAGGATGAGTGGGGGCATAGGAGGAAGGGGTGGGCCCCCCTGATTCATCAAGCCCTCCCCCAGGACCTCCACCTTCATAGTGGCCAAAGTCATTGGAAGACTCACAGAAGTTGACCTGCTCCTCCCCCTTGTCTGGAGGTTCAGTCAGTGTCCGAACATCACTGATACTGAGAGTAGCCTCAGGTCCTCCCCCTACTCGAACCCCAGAGCCACCCCCCAGCTCCTCATCCTCATCATCCTCACAGGTTAACACCAGATCTTCCTCCTCTTCTTCCTCCTCTAGATCTGGGTCTTGGGGAACCAGAGATGCTGGTGTGGGGCAATTTCCACCCCGCTTAACATATACCCAGTGTTTCTGTGGCATGATGCTGGCAGGTGTGTAAGTAGGCCGCCGGAGCCCAGCCCCAGGAACGACTGCCCCCCTCTCATCCCCACCATCATCACACAGTTCATCTGCCTCCAGAAGTAGTTTCCCAGAAGTGGCACCCCCACTACCGACCACTGGGGCTGTGAATACAGGGCCACCTCCTCTCCGCTCCCCACTGCCCACTGCAGAAGCTACGAATGTCTCTTGGGAAGAAGATGAAAAATCAGTGGACTCCCTCGGGCTGAAGTAGTTGCTGCTGCTGGGAGACTGATTCTCACTGGCCCGGCTGGAGGTATGGGAACGCACTGAACCCATGGCAGGGGCCACAGTGCCCCCACTCCCTGATGGGACGCTGGTACCAGGGACAGTAACAGAGGTGGCTGCAGCAGTAGTGATGGTGGTAGCGGCTGAGGCTCGGCCCTCTCGGAGGAGTTCAGTGCACTTGTCCACAATGTGCCACATTTGGAGCACAGACCCCACTGTGAGGAAGTTGACAATGTCAGCAGCAGCCATGCTGAGGCGGCCAGTGTAAGCAGATGCCAGGACAGTCTCAAAGGCACCTGGGTCCATGACACTGGGCAGTGAGATGGAGGTCATGCCCTTGAGTAGGACCTGGTCATGGAAGTAAGGAGAAGAAGCAGCCAGGACAGCCCGATGAGCCCGAAACTCCCGTCCCTGCACTCGGATGGACACATCACAGAGCTGACCCTGCAACCGCTGTTGATTAAGGGACTCCAGGAGGGCACTGGTCACCTCAGGGAAGGACACGTGTACCACCGCAGCTGCTGGCAGGGGCAGTGGGGGTGGGGCCAGCGACAGAGGCAGGGGGAGTGCCGCCCCACTGGGCGACATAGGAGATGGCTCCATGTTGTGGAGAGAGGGGATACCCCCCCAGCCACAGGAACAAAGGAAGGAGGAGGGCGGCCGGGGGGGTCTCTGGGAAAAAAAAAAAGAGAAGAAATGGTAACATTTTGTAAAAACACATCCCATTACAGTTTAAAAAGCGTATTCACGCCAGTCTTCTAAGTAACTCCCCACAACAGGATAAGTATGCTTCTCGGCACCATTTGACAGATGAGGAAACTGAGGCTGAGAAAAACTGAATCATTCAAGGTCATACAGCTATTAAAGGACAGCGTCGGCAAACAGGTGTTCTGACTCCAAGTTTAGTGTTCTTGGATGTTAGAAATAAGGCGTTCTTAGGGAGTAGGTGTCTCCCCTTGGAGCCACACCCTATTTACCATTTGCCTGAGAGCCTGGCTTTCCAAAATTTATCTTTTTGGAGTTTTGCACCCTTTTCTTGGGAGGGGGACTAATCTGCTCGGCTACTGAAAACCAGCCCTGGCTCCATCTCCTCTTCGGCTATGCCCCCAAGCTGTCTCACAGACCACGCCTCCTTTGCCCCCAGCACACCAAGCCCCGCCCCCACCAAGACCCTCCTTGTGCTCCGCCCTCCAGGTCCTTTCGACCCCGCCCCTTGTCTACCCCCGCCCTCACCGGACCCCGCCCCCCCGCTCCACCCCAAGCACTACCTCAGCCTCTTCTCCCACCCGGAAGGCGCCCCCCAACCCTGCGCGTCCCCGCTTACCGGGCCGCGCGCCCCGGGGCCCCCCCCGCCCCTCACTCGGCGGCCAGAGCTGCAGCCTGGGCCCCTCCCGCCGCCATCTTGCGCCGACTCCCTCCGCCCTCCGCACTCGCTCCGCCTCCTGAACCTCCGACTTTAAAGGCACAGGAGGACACCCCGCCCGTGCCCTTGGGTAATATTCGGCCGACATAATCACTTCTCCTTTAAAAAACCGTAGCATCATTCCATCTTAAAGGTACCAGGTCCCCTCCTTCACTGACTAGTTAGGTCTTGATTTGGCCGAAACCTTCTTTCCCCTTTAATTCTGTAAGCCTGCCTTTTCCCACTGGCGACGGGTCCTGGCCTTAGCTCCTCACACTCCGTCCTGAGTTGTGGCCATTAGCTAGCTCGTGGGATCTTAATAGCTCCTGTCCCAGCTTCTGACGATCCTCCTGAAGCCCCGCCCTGTTCCTCCGGGCCTGGATTGGCCAAATAACCTTGAGTCAGCCCCTGATTGGCCTTTTAACTCCTACCGCTTGAAGTGAGAAAGTAAGGCGCGTTAAGAGAGCTGAAGCTCTTAGGTGCCTGGTGGAGGATTCAAGGAAACCTCAAGAGAGGTGTCCAGGCTAGAAAGGTCAGATCGTTTTACCCCAGAATCTTGGTCAATCCTGATCCAGGGAACAGCTGACACAAAGGACAGCAAAAGGAAAAGACAGGAAAACAATAAGAAAAGACTTTTATTGTTTATTAACGTTTTTGTGTAAAACTTAAGCTTCTGGTTTTTTAAAAGAAAGACCACCAAAAAGGGATTAGCACAGTCCATCCCTTCTCAGTGGGATGGCTTCCCACCATCCTCCAAATGGTACCCCAAAACATTTTGGAGGCAGGGAGAGCAGGAGGCAGCTAATCAGAGTCTGAGAGCACGATGATCTCCTCTGGATCACACTGTGTGGCCACACTCATCTGCAGGGAAGTGAGAGAAAAAGAGTCAGAAGTCTAGAGTACAGGTGAAGGAAAAGAGGAAAGAGTTTAAAAAGACCATAAATTTAGGGTGGGAAAAAAGCAAGAGGGAAGATGTGATGGATGCAATATTGAGACAGAGTCTAAAACAAGAGAATGAAAAACAACTGCCTGCCCCTTCTCCTCCTTACCTTGTAAGCACTGGGCCGGGGAGGTTGAAACTGGGGGATTTGGGACAACCGAGCTGGAGAAGGGCTGCAAAGGGAGCTGGTCACCAGACCATGACTGGGAGAGTCCACCCTTGTGGAGGAATCAGCAACTGGGGCCATGGAAGCCAAGGGGGAATGTGGACTGGGTAGAGTACATATCTTCTCCCCATTCTTCTCATGCACTGCCCTTTGCCTTTCCACATAGCTGAGAACAAAACATAAATGCAAGGAGGGGTATGAGGAGCCTGAGGCTGGAGAGAGAATCCAGTCCCTCCCAGCAGACTCAGTCCCTCAAGGCTCCTTCAGAAAGCCCCCTGAAATCCCTTCTTGGCTTCCCTCTGCCTCCTCTTATTGTTACCCATTTCCTAATGGTCCTGATCCTGTTTGCTTCTCCTTCCGAGGTTTCTTGCAGGGGGGACTGGAATCTCTCCAAGTGTGAGGAGAGACACCTCCATTGAAGGATGTGGAGGTGACCATGGATGCTCCATTCTCCAAAACAGTGGTGAGGGGATCTTCTGACTGCTTCCTGGAAGAGGAAATGTCCCTCTCCTCAGGGGAAGGGGTAGTATCCACGGGCAAAGCTTCAATCTCTAGCTCAAAGAGCTGAGACTCAGGACTCTCTTCCTCTAGGGGCAACTCTTCAAACTGTTCTCCAGTGCTTTCAGCATCTGTGCTGGAGGGGTCCCGGGGTTCTTCCAACAGTGAAGCTGGAGACACCGTGAGTCCTTTGTTTTGATGTTCCCCTGAAGACCTGCTGATTCGTTTGTCAGGTTCCAGGTTCTTTTCAGTGGAGATCTGTGGTGTGGACATAGGGCTATTGTCTCCACTGTCGCCTGGGAAAGAAGAAAAGAGAGGGATGGCATGAGGACTGGGATGGTGGATATTGCTGCAAAGAAACGAGGAGTAAGAGGAGGAAGGAAAGATTCTCAACAGGTGGCTCATGCTCAACAGAACTGACACAAGGAGAATGTTCCTCTTACATACCTCCTCTCTCCTCCTCCTCTTCTTCATCGTCCCCCTGACCTTCCTGTATTTGTTCTAGATCCTCCTCCTCCTCAGAATCTGTGGCCTCATCCTCTTCCTCCTCGTCCTCCTCTTCCTCCTCGTCCTCATCATCATCACTTTCCTCATCATCTTCATCATCAGTCTCAGCCTTGGAGGTAGGAGGGCACTCCTGGGATGCCATTCCACTAGGGCCCTGGGGGACACAAAGGAGTTTCTGTAAGGAATCTCTTGCCCCAGAGGATTTGGTTCTTACATTCCTTCTATATCCTCCCTCATTAACCACCCTGAAATCCCTGGTTGCCAGTGTAGGGGGAGGACAAAGTCTCTCTGAAGGGTGTATCCCTTCCACACCTCACCAGAATCCAAGGAAGCTTTGGGGGGTTCTGCAGAGTGGGAAGAGGTGCCCTGGGGGAGCCGGGCTCTTCTCTTCTGTCTCTCTCCCTCCTCACTTTTGTCTTGCATCATTGCATATTTGGAGATGACTTCATCTAGCCGACTCATGGCCAAGCTCCGGTTTTCTCGAAGTCGCCGGGCCAATGCAGGATCTGATAGTGCAGGGTCAATGCCTATGTGGGAAAATACAGTCAGAGCACTAAGATATAGTACTAGCACTCAGCTCAAACCCTAAAAGGGACTAGAGGGATGATCCCTCCACCACACATTCAACCTACAGGGTCATTGAAGGACAGCCCACTAACCTCCTACCTGGCCTATAGTCATCTGTGAGGTGGCAGCCAAAGTTGTAGATGAGATCAAGGTGGCGTCGCTCCTGTAACCTGATACCCACATCCCGGAAGGCATCCTGAGCCATGAGCTGGAGCTGTTGTCGGGGAAGGCCAAGACTGTGTCGGGCAGCTGCCTTCTCTACAGCTCGAAGCACATCTCCATAGTCAGGAAAGGTATCAGGCCCTGGCTTGTTGATGAGCCGCTCAATGCGCCTGTTAACTTCTGGGTAGCGTGTACCCCGGTAGGGGATGCGCTGCTCTATGACACGGCCAGTTAGGGAAGAGCAGTCCTTCAGCTCACAAAGACGCCGGAAAAGGCGGATCAGCTTCCGCTTCAACCGGGCCTCCTGCAGATATGTAGAGTCTGGGTCATCTAATTCTGACAGATCCAACTCCTTCTCTTGCAGCCGTCGGATCTCTGCCACATAGAGTGCCAGCAGCTGCTCCAAGCGCTGGATCTGCCTTCGGGAACCACGGGTCCTTGGGGCCTCAGAGGCAGTGACTTCAGCATTCATAGAGCCTAAGGAGGGGTCTGTGGAAGGGTTATTCCCAGAGGGCTCACTGGGAGCGATGGCAGCGGGGGCCAGGTTCAGCTTCTTCTTGGCTGAGTGGGCCTTGAGAACAGTACAGAGCTCATTAATGTAGACATAGAGCTTAGCTGGCCGACTCTGGGCCCGAGAGAGGACCCGAGAAAGGATGTTGCAGAACTCCGCTGAGGCCAGAAATAGCGACTGGGCCCGCTGCTGGCGGTTATAGAGGAATGGGACCACCTCAGGGTGGTCCGATGTCTGTGCCTTACACAGTTCAAGAAACTGGAGGGTTCAGGGGAAGGGAGGGGGAAAGGACAAAGGAAGGGGTTGAGAGAAAAAGGTGAAGTGGGGTTAGTGGGGAAGACAGGACAGGAGAGCCAGTCAGGATCCCCCTCCCTGGGGTGCAAGTATCTTCTCCCCTAAAGCTCACCTCTTCAAACAGCTTCTCATTCTCCAACTTGTAGCATTTCTTGCCGCCAGAACTACTGCTTCCTCCCGGCCCATGGGGCTCAGAGGAGCCAGGGGCTTCTGCCCGGCGTAGGGCCGGACTGGGGGGTGAGTGGGAAGGCCCTGGCTGAGCAGGTACTTCATCTTCATCATCATCATCCAGCACAATGATGCTGTTAGCGGTGGCCATGGGGGGAATCAAAGCCCCCGGAGGGAGGAAGTGTTGGGGAATTCAGAATTCCTGCTGGAAGGGGATGGGGCCTCAGAATAGGCCCCTCCAGCATAGCCCCATCCCTTCAGCTTAGTTTCCGGTTCCCTTGGGTTTCCACACAGCCTGGTTCTGTCCGACGGTGTCCTCACTGCCTAGCTTCGGCAACTCCTACTTCTATGTGCTCTTCTGCCCCTTCAAGTGCGGGGTAACAAACCTCCCCAATACCTTAAGTCCCCACCCCTGCTCCACCCCCCACGTCCATTTCCGGTCTTTCAGTTGCATTTCCCCACTATTTCTCATATTTGCCAAGTTGGTTGTTACTCCCCATCCCAACTGCACCTCCCATTCCGGTCCCAAATTTCCGACAGGCCCTTCCACAGACAACACACCCCTGTGGGTGCCACTTCAGGTGTGTGCCCCCTCGCCCTCAAACACAGTAGGCCCACACCCCACCCCAATCACCACCCCAACTCCGAGACGCTCTGAGGAGAAAAGGTTCCCTCACAACAACGCATTCCCTCTTCCCCTCCCGGAATTTTCTCCGTATCTCGCCCTGTGATGGGCTGCCTCAAACCAGGACATTAGGTTGGAGATTTTTCACCTCAAGTCCCCTCCCTCTTACCCACCCCATTTTCCCCATTCTCTCGGCGACTTGTGTTCGACTGCGAGCCCCAGCTTGACTCTCCTAATTCCTCTCGGGTCCCAACATCGGGCTGGGCCGGGCCGGCACCTGAGCTTCCCGCCAAGTCCCCTCCCCCAGTTCAGCCCCCGGCCACCCCACTCCCATTCAGGGACAGCAAGGTACCACAGCTTGCCCCTCAGACTCAGCGCTGAGGTTTCCCGAACACCTCAACCTCGATATTCCCACCCCCACTTTTGCTCCCCGCACGGTCCGGCCCCCACCTCAGAAACGGTCTCTCGAGGCGACCCTCGCCGCTGATTTCAGAACCTCGCATGGTTCCCTCCGCCTTCCTTCCCCCCTCCCACCGCAGGCCCCACTACGGACCGGAAGTCAAAGAGTTTCCGCCTACTTGCGCCTAAGTGCGGCCATATCATCGTACGGAATCGACTCCTGTGACCGGAAGTGGCGTTGGGTCCGCCCCCATAGTCTGCGGCTTCCTTCTCTCTGACCTGTACGGGCTGGTTTGTCCCCGCAGGGCGTTCCAGAGTATCTAGGGTGCGCCATTTTGCCGTACGGCACTGGCTTCACGGGGACTCGGGCTGACAGACGACGGAGCTCTTTTCACCCGCGGCTCCTGAGATTCGGCCAATCAGAAACTTTCCGCCTCTCCAACCGCCCGCAAATATCCTATGAGGAGGACTGAGCCACCTTTCCAAGGCGGGGAGGTTGGAGGGGGAAACGAGCAGAGTGGATAAGGAATTGGGATCTCTAAGACTGTGCAGGGCTTTGAGGGAGGGCAAGAGTGTCTTTAGAGGGAAATAAAATCTTTCCTTTACCGGGCTGTTGACAAGCCCTCCGGCCTTGCTTTCTCCCACTGCTTCATGCCTTCCCTCCGAGGGCGGCGCGCGGCGCGCCGCTGTCCAGCAGCTACCTCTAACTGCTGGTGGCCACGCCGCCGCACTTAGAAATCACAGAAACGAGCACGACGCGCTGCACGAATGTGTTATTATTGCTACTGTGGATGCTTTGCCGTTCGAGCTGCACCGAGGAACTTAGTGACCAAGCGAGCCGGTGGGAGCCGAGGAGCCAGCCGCGCTTTATCGTGGGGTCCGGGCGGAGCGGGCGGCGGCGGGGGGGCTCGAAGAGGCCGCGTCGTCCCCTCTTCTGGGAGCGCTGAGGAAAGAACGAAGGGGGAGGAACCGACTGTGGCGCCCGTCTCCCCCGGTTTAGGGGGGCAACGGGGCTGGTGAAGGCAAGGCTGGGGCTGCAGGTGGGCTGACGGGGAAGCCAGCGGGTTAACCCTCTCCGGGTCGCTGAGATTCCCCTCCCGCATCCTTCCGTGAGAGGCGGCTAACTGGGGACAGAAAACTCCAAAGATGCTACTGGGACTTGAGAGATACGAGGGATGGAACTTCCAGATCCCAGTTTCCCAAAATGGGTCTTCCTGAGTAAATACCTATGGTAAAGGTATCCCCACCCTTCCCTTCCCTTCCCCATAGACTTTATCCCTCTTAAAAAAAAGAAAGAAAGAAAGAAAAAGAAACCCTGCCGGGCGCCGGTGGCTCACGCCTGTATTAGGAGGCAGGGATCAGGGGAATCGCGGTTCCAAGCCAGCTCCGGCAAATCTCGAAAATACCCAATATAGATTAGGGCTGGCAGAGTGGCTCAAGTGGTAAGCGTGCCTGCCTCGCAAGCATGAGGCCCTGAGTTCAAGATCCAGTTCCACCAAAACACACACACCCAATAAAAGGATAGGAGGAAGAGAGGAAAGGAAAGCTGTTATTATTTAAAAATGAATGGTGATGGGTTCCAAGTTATATTTTTAATTCCCCTGTAGTTTCGAAAAAACGATTTATTTTAAAATGCAAATGTTTTCAGTGTGCCAGGAATTACATCCTTGAAACATTTTTATGATGAAAAAATTTAAACCTACTTAAAAATATATGTACTATCAAAGTAAAAAACTTCTGAACAGCAAAGGAAGCAAGAGAGAAAAGATATTCTGCAGAATGGGAGAAAATATTTTTGAACTTTTCATCCAACAAGGGATGACTATAGGCCAAGATGTAGAATCAACGTGGGTTCATCAATAGATGAACAGATAAAGAAAATGTGGTATATGTATACACAATATTATTCAGCCATAAAAAGGAATCAAACCCTATCATTTGCAGTAACATGGATGAAACTAGAGGGCATTATATTATGTGAAAAAAGCCAGGTGCAGAAAGACAAATACCACATGTTCTCAGTCATGTGGAAGCTAAAAAAGGTTGACCTTCATCTCAGGCTGAGAATGCAGCTCAGTAAGAAGCATATTAGGCCCTGGGTTTGATCCACAGAAAGGAAGGGAGGAGGGAAGGAGAAAGGGAAAGAGAACAGGGAGGAAGGGAGAGAGAGGGAGGGAGGAAAGGAAGGAAGGAAGGAAAGAAGGAAGGAAGGAGAGAGAGAAAAAGAAACTCATAAGAGGGTAGAATAGTGACTGCCAGCTGATGAGAAAGGGTTAAAAGCTACAAAAATACAGTTTGATAGGAAGATTAAGTTCTAGTGTTCTATAGCACAATAGGGTGATTACAGTTAATAATTACTTTATACTTCAAAATAGCTAGAAGGGGGCTGGAGGGCATGGCTGAAATGGTAGAGCACTTGCCTAGCAAGTGCAAGACCATAGGTTCAAACCCCAGTACTGCCAAAAAAAAAGCTAGAAGAGAAGACTTTGAATGTTCCCAACACAAAGAAATGATAAATGTTCAGGGTGATGAATATGCAACTGCCCTAATGTGTCATTGCACATGGGTCAAAATACCACACTGTACCAATGAATATGTACAAACATTTTGTGTCAATTTAAACATTTTTAAAATATGTGGAGTAGATATTTTTTCAAAATTACTACCCAGAGTATAGGTTCAGGTATTTTAGACTGCAGACCTAAGCTACACAGCCCCTGGCAGTCCATTTCCCCATCTCCCCCTCTCACCTCTGTGGCAAGGAGAGAGGATGTTTGTAAAAGATGATCACAACTCCAGCTCCTCCTCCTCCTGAGGAGTCCTCAAAAGCCAGTCCCCAAACTTTGCCCATGGTAGCGGCCACAGCAATTTATAAGCAGCCTCCAGCATCAGCAGTGACAGGAAGAACACCAGGAAGATAAGGAAGACCTTGTCCAAAGCTCGACGCAGGGGACCCCGAGGAGGAGAGGGACCCTGGGCAAATGCCAGGAACACATCCTCCTCATCCACACTGCCTTCCTCCTCTGCCATCTTCACCCACCATCTGACAGCTGCTGGATCAGTGGGACTGGGATGGAAGCCTGGCTCAGCATTGCCAGGATTAAGGGGTGTGACTGTGCTGAATCCTACACCTGCCTGCCCTGACCCTAATTCCAGCCCCCTAGGGAGAAGAGAGAAGAGCTGCTGAGCCTTGGGAACAATTAATCATCCAGTGCGAGGTGAAAGGCCTACGCTAAATGATACCTAAACTGTTCAGCTTGACCATAGTATAATGTGGGAGTTTGGATTCGAAAGGCCCAGCAGAGTGACAAACTGGAGCCGCCGGTCATTCTGGGTTTTTAGGCTCAAGGGTCACAGTGTTGGGCCCCTGCAGATAGTGAGCAGGTCAGTCAAGGATCTGAAGCGGCTTCCGGTTTTACGCGGGGCGGGGGGGGGGGTCGGGGCTCTCCTAACCCAGCGGGTGGTATCAGCCGGATCTTTTGGGGCGAAGGAGGAACGTCTTGTTCTTCACGGTTCTGTGGGAGCGTACTCCCTAATTGATAGGCCCCGCGGTGCTGCATGAACTCAAGGAAAATTTGTTTAAAAAAAAAAAAAGAAGACCATGATTTGTTGGTACGAGGGCCGAGGGCTTGTGATTAGAAACTGATTGTTGGGCATTTGTAAGAAGGAGGGAGGTTTTGCATCCCCGGTGCAGCCTGGAAGAAAGGATGGGTGGAATGGGGATGGCCCCAGATCAAGCTTTGTAGAAAACCCTTGTATAGGACTGCGGGTCTATACGAGGCAAATAACCAAACCAAACCAAGACAAAGCAAAAGCAAATACAGCCAGGAGCCAGTGGGTCACGTAACTCACTCCAGCAATCCTAGGTACTTGGGAGGCTAAAATCAGGAGGATTGTAGTTGAAAGCCAGCCTGGGCAAAAATTTGCAAGACCCCATCTTCTAAATAGAGCAAAATGGACTGGAGGTGTGGCTCAGGCAGTAGAGCTCCTGCTTTGGGATCACCTGCTTTGCAAGCGTAAAGCCCTGAGTTCAAACCCCAGTTCTAACAAAACAAAAATTAAGCAAACACAAAAATCTCTTGGATAGCCAGGCATGGTGGTGCATATCTGTAATCCCAGCACTGGAGAAACAGAGACAGGAGGATCATGAATTCTAGGCAACCTAAACAACTTAGCAAGATCCTTACTCAAATTTTTATTTTTATTTTTTGGCAGTACTGGGATTTGAATGCAGGGCTTCATGCTCACTAGGCAGGCACTCTACCACTTGAGCCACTCCACAACCTTACTTTTTAAAATTTTGAGTTCAATTATTTGAACGCCAACATGAAGCCCTGTGTTCAAATCCCAGTATCACACACAAAAAATTATTTTTTAAAAGGGCTAGGGATGTAGCTCAATGGTAGAGCACTCGCCTAGCATGTGCAAACAATCTCTCACCTCTTGGAACAGATTTGGTCAGCCTTGTCCATTGGAGACCACACAGTGCAGGTTGGGGGCAAGCACCCCAACTTCACAGGACTGACTTTGATAGAACAAGCTTTCATGATGGAGAGGCCAGAGGCCTCCTAATTTTAATATTTTGCAAGTTTTAATCAACCTGCATTTCTCTGCAACAAAATTTTTATTTTATTTTTTCTTTTACACAAATGTGTGTGTGTGTGTGTGTGTGTGTGTGTGTGTGTGTGTACCTTGGAGAGAATGCAGAGCCTGTGTATGTTAGGCAAGAGCTCTACCACTGAACTACATTCCCAGCCCTTTACATTTTATTTTGAGACAGGGTCTTGATATGCAGCCCAGGCTGTCCCTAAACTGGAGATCCTCTTTCCTCAGCCTCCCAAGTAGCTAGGATTACAGGTACATGCCACCATGCCCAAATGACAAATATATATTTAAAAATTAGCTCTTTAAAAAATGTTTTTAGCTCTTTAAAATTTTTTTGACTATAACATTCTAAGTGTTTAAATTTTTCATTTAGGTTGGGAGTGTAGCTCAGTGGTAAGAGGGCATGCTTAGCTCTCTTGCAACTCTTAAACATCAAAGAAAGACCACAAATTTTTCTTCTGGATTGAACTATTATTACAAATTGATCAAAGTCATATAAATATATTATAAAGGTTACAGATAATTATTAAATATAACTATACA